ATTAGAATCAGATGGGGAATTTAAACACGCACACCAGCCCAATAAAGTCAGGATCTATCAGGTAGGGCTTAGGCATCCATGTTCTTTTAAAAGCTCCCCTAAACAGGGGAGCCTGGGTGGCTCAGTCAGTTAAGTGTCCAACTTCAGCTCAGGTCATGATCTCCATGAGTATTGGGTCCCACGTCAGGCTCTGTGCTGACAGCTCAGATTCTGTGTCTCCCTCTCTCTCTGCCCTTCCCCTACTCATACTCAGTCTTTCTCTCTGTCACTCAAAAATAAACATTAAAAATTTTTAATAAAAAAAGAACCCCCCTTATCATCCTAACCAAAAGCCAGAGTTGAGAACCACCGGTTTAATGGCACAAGCATATATCATTTGTTGTAATTTGTAGTTGGGGATTTTTTTATTAAAAAAAATTTTTTTTAATGTTTCATTTATTTTTGAGAGAAAGATAGAGACAGCATGAGCAGGGGAGGGTCAGAGAGAGAGGGAGACACAGAATCCTAAGACAGGCTCCAGGCTCTGAGCTAGCTGTCAACAAGAGCCCGACATGGGGCTTGAACCCACAAACCGTGAAATCATGACCTGAGCCAAAGTTGGATGCTTAACCGACTGAGCCACCCAGGTGCCCCTGGGGATTTTTTTTTTAATTGTTCAGTGTTTTGAAAATAGATGTGCTTTCATGTACCCCAATGTTCATAGCAGCACTCTCAACAATAGCTAAAACATGGAAAGACCCTAAGTGTCCATCCACGGACGAATGGATCAAGAAGATGTGGTTTATCTATACCATGGAATACTACATGGCAATGAGAAACAATGAAATCTGGCCATGTGTAGCAACATGGATGGACCTTGAGGGTGTTATGCTGAGCGAAATAAGTCAGGCAGAGAAGGACAAATATCATATGTTTGCACGTATAGGAGGATTAGGAGGAACTTGACGGAGGAACAAGGGGGAGAAAAAGGGGGGAAATGGTGGGGGAAAGGGAGAGAGGCAAACCATGAGAGACTCTTGAATGCTGACAAAAACTGAGGACTGATGGATGTGGGGGGGAGGAGGGATGGGCATGGAGGAGGACACTTGTGGGGATGAGCACTGGGTGTTATGTGGAAATTAATTTGACAATAACTGTTAAAAAAAAACAAAAAAGGGGCGCCTGGGTGGCGTAGTCGGTTAAGCGTCCGACTTTCGCTTGGGTCATGATCTCGCGGTTAGTGGGTTCGAGCCCCGCGTCGGGCTCTGTGCTGACTGCCAGCTCAGAGCCTGGAGCCTGTTTCAGTCTGTGACTCCCCCTCTCTCTCTGACCCTCCCCTGCTCACGCTGTCTCTCTCTCTCTCTCCTAGAAATAAATAAAAAATATTTAAAAAAAAAAAACAAAAACAAAAACAAAAAAAGAAAATAGATGTGCTTTTGCAAGTAAATTGACTTTTCTTAGTGAGATTTCTCGTAAAGGAGTTTCTTATCTTAGCTGAAACCTTCTAAGTGTACTTTGGAGAGAGTCTCTCCCAGCATCCTTATAATCTTGAAAGAAAAAAAAGTACCTCTCAAAATATTGACACATTACATTCCAGAAGTTTTGAATCATGTGCAGGATGAACAGAAACTCCCTGAAATTCTCTTTAGATGTCTACAAAATCTACCTTAAAGGATTTTTTGGTAATTATCCATTTGCCCATTGAAAGCATGATACAGGAAACTTAGTTCATTCTGTTTACCTTTTTTCTGAGATTGAAATTAGTCTATGCCACTTTTTTGATAGGATATTGGCCAAGTATCTGAACCTCATTGGTACTCAGTTTCATTAGTACAGTGGGCCTCTAAAGGCTGACACAGTGTGGGTGAGATGGAAATAACTCCGTAAATTGTTAAGTGCTATTTATCAGCAAGCTATTGAATCATATTCTTCTCCTAAGAGACGAGGTGCTTATCCTTATTTTTTAATCAGTGAGAAGTGAGTTCTGGCAGCTCATTATCCATTTAAAGCTGGATGTGCCCACATTAAAACACAAATAGCACTTTGCCCCCTCCCTTTACCTTGCTGTTAGAAGATCCAGGCAGCTTATTCTGTGAGGGGTGGGAAAGAGAGATGCCAGATGATTCCTACATTTTCTAAGAAACTCGCTTTTTGTCTTTTGAAATGTTTCCCACCCCCAGCTCTAGTACAGGGCTCCAGGTCACCGATTATCCTGTTTGTTTGTTTCCTTTTTAAATCAGGAATACAAACTGAAATTTGCTTTGAGTTGTAGAATATTTGGCATATGTTTTGTCTGAATATTGGAACATCTCTTAAGCAACATAATATTTTAACATCTAAAACTGTTCATGGGGGGGATGAGTCACGTTTAAGCAGTTTGAGAAAATTAGGGAAATATGCATTTCTGTACAATTAATGATGATAATTATGAGAGCTGTATCTACTAATGTTTAAATCCCTTAATTGTAGGGGCACCTGGGTGGCTCAGTAGATTAGACGTCCTGCTTAGGCTCAGGTCATGATCTCACGGTTCAGCCGGGCTCTGTGCTGACAGCTTGGAGCCTGGAGCCTGTTTCAGATTCTGTGTCTCACTCTCTCTCTGCCCCTCCCCTGCTCACTCCCTGTCTCTCACTCTCTCAAAAATAGGGAAACATTTAAAAACAATTTTTTTTAAATCCTTTAATTGTAGAATTGAGAGGGATATTACTAAAATTTTGACCAAAATATGATGGTCAGTTAAGTTACAAGGTAAATGTTTTGTGTAAAGAACCTTTCTATCTTTCATCAAAATATGGCTGTCATGCAGAAAAGTACACAGATCAACAGTGTACAGCTCAGTTAATTTTCACAAAATGAAACACACCCTTGTAACTAGCACTCAGAACAGGAAAGAGAACATTAATAGAGCTGCAAAGGTCTCCTTCATGCTCCTTTCCAGCAATCACTCATCTAGCGCCATACATTCATTTTGCCTGTGTTTGAAACTTGTGTATAAATTAAGTCATATAGTTTGTACCTTTCTTGGGAGGGGGCAGGATCTGGGCTTGTCTTGCTCAGTTATTTATGTTGTACATTATAGCAAGTTATTATGACTGTTGTACAATAGTCCATTGCTTAGCTATTCCACAATTCATTCTTTGCTTGATGGCTATTTTGGGTTTCCAGCTTGGGCTATTAGGAACCACAGTGCTATAGAAATTACATGTGTCATTTGCTAAAATAAGTGTACATTTCCATTGCGATATATGTACAAGTACAGTTGCTGAGCCATGTATGTTCAGCTTCAGTAGCTACTGGGTTTTCCAATTTCTGTTCCTGTTAGTGTATGAGAGTTTTACTTGCTTCACATTTCTTGGCATCATGTAATATGAAAACATAATTAGTTAAGGACTTGTAATCTTTAGGATAAGTAATAATAGTAATAAGAATGTATAACTAATGGGTAGGAGAATGAAATATTAAGTTTTTTGCTTAATCCAGAAGAAGGCAAGAAATAAACAATTGAGTCACATAGAAAATAAATAGTAAGATATTGGGTTTGTATCAGTGGTATCATTGATTAAATGTAAATGGACTACATACTCTAAAGGATATTGCTTGTAAGACACATATTTTAGGTATAAGGACTCAGGAAGATGCATAATAAAAGGATAAAAAAAAGTTATGTAAGCACTGACCAAAAGAAAGCTGACATTGCTATCCTGTAATCAAAGTAAACTTAAAAGCAAAAAGAATGTATTCACAATAAAGGGCATTTTATGGTGAAAAAAAGGATTAACTAGTCCAGCTCCTGTTAAAAAGCTATGTATGATTTTTCAGGCACAGTCGTATGCAATTGTAAAAGCTTAGGGGTGCATGGGTGGCTCGGTTGGTTAAGCATCCAATTCTGGATTTCAGCATGGGGCTGCATGCTTATAGCGCAGAGCCTGCTTGGGATTCTTTCTCTCTATTTCTCTCTCTGTGTCTGACTCTCCCCCAAAATAAATAAATAAAACTTCTTAAAAACAAAAACAACTTTACCTAGCAGCCCTCATGGGGGGAAAGCTGCCCCCTCCCCAAACCAGACTTGGTGCATGCCAGTGCACTGCAGTTCCCGAAGGGAGTTAGAGTCAACTCAGGCCCCCCCTGGGTAGCCATCATCTTATCCATAACTGCATTCTGAGCTGGAGCACCTTCATTCAGTGGCCTCTTTATTAGGAGCTATCAGCACAGACCCTCTTGAGGTACCTCTGCTGAAACCACCTCAGCATGAAAAGGAGGGGAACCTTGCAGATATTTTTTGTCCACTCTGACTCAGTACTTTTCTACTCTTAGCTCTTCTCTCTCTTTCTGCCCTGAGAACACTGGGGTCAACAACACCGCAGAAGCCTTTTGTCGAGGGCTCCTTCAGCAGTGAGAGATTCCCAACCTCTCCCTGATCTACCCTCCACCAGCATGCCACTACATGGGAGAAACTAAACTGGGAAGTTAGTGCTTTCTCTGGTGTAGACACCTGCTTATACTATCACAGCAAGTGAGAAAATACTTGACTATTCCTTGCTTTTTATCTTATTGCTTTAATTGACTATTGGACACCTGGTAGCTCTGCTGAGTTCCTGAAAGGAACCAGGAAACTATAACAGTTCTAAATGTTTATGCCTCTCATAACATAGCTCCAAAATACATAGAGCAAAAATTAATAGATACTTACAATTTATTGAAGTGTAACATACACACAGAAAAGTATTTAGGTTAAAAGTATACAGCTCAGTGAGTTATTGCCAAGTGAGTATAGCAGTATACCCAACACATACTGCATTACCAGCACTTCAAAAGACTCCTGTGAGATACCTTGCAATCATTAGTCCTTTCCTCTTCCCTAATGGTCACTAAATAGATTAGTTTTGCCTGTTTTTAAACTCTATATAACAGAATTATCAGTATGCACTCTTTCGTATTTGGCTTTTCACTAATATTTTTGGATATGTTTTTAAACATTCCCTGTTAAATTTTAACTTTCTATTATTATTTTATCATTTCAGGTGTTTTAGAAAATAATTATGAAAGCTTACGTATACTAAATGTTGAAAGAAATGGAAATATTATTTATACCTATAAGGTATGTGTATATTCTCTTTTTTTATTGTGGTAAGATATGCATGACGTAAAATTTACCATCTTAACCATTTATATTTTTTTACAGAATTTTATGCTGTATTTTACTGAGGGGTAATGAATAAGACTTGCTGGCATTTAACTTTTAACATGACTTATTTTATGAGATTAAACAAGGTGACTGAAATTCAGTCTTATGAAATGTTTTTTTAAACAAAAATTATACACAGTATCTGACACAGCACTCAAATTTTTTGAATAAATGAACAGTTCCATTCTTCAGAGGAACAAATGCTGAGTGAAAGATATTTAAACCTACTTAATATATAAAGTTTTGATCTTTGAGAAAATATTAAATATGACTATATAATCTGTTTAAGATATCATCTGTTTTGAGACCTTATTTAACCTGTTTTCAATGTTCAGTGTTCTAAGGAATGAAAATTTAACTTTATTGATAACTTTACTATAGTAGGGAAACATGAAAGAATAATTTTAGTGCCAGTTTGCATAAATGTATTACTGTATTTTTTTTTCTTAAAAGTTATTTTAAGTTGGGGCACCTGACTGGCTCAGTCTGTGGACCATGCATCTCTTGATCTCAGAGTTGTGATTTTGAGCCCCATGATGGGTGTAGAGACTACTTAAAATAAAATCTTTAAAAAAAAGTTAGGGGTGCCTGGGTGGCTCAGTGATTGAGCATCTGACTTTGGCTCAGGTCATGATCTCACAGTTTGTGGGTTCGAGCCCTGCATCAGGCTCTGTGCTGACAGCCAGCTCAGAGCCTGGAGCCTGCTTTGGATTCTGTGTGTCCCTCTCTCTCTGACCCTCCCCTGCTCACGCTGCCTCTCTCTCTCTTAGAAATAAATAAAACATTAAAAAAAATTTTTTAAGCTATTTTAAGTTGTGTCTATGAGTATGCTGCATTTAAGGGAATTGTATGATTCAAAAAGTTTTATTTATAGGAATAACATGAATTGGTTTTAGCCACCCCCAATCTCTATCATATATATTGTGTTAAATATAAATGGAAGTATAAAAAGATTTGCTCCTTTACTACACTTAATCCTACTAGACAGGGTCTCCTAGACTTAGCAAATTGTACACTCTTAATTCATTTCACTCTTTGAGGCCCTATTTCTAGCTGAAACAGGTTTGGTCCCTTTCTGACCAAACCTTTAGAGTGCTAATTGCTAATATAGATTGAATTATTGCAGATTTAAGACTAATAACATCCTAACTTCCTAAGCAATGATATATAATAAATATCTGGTTAATTTTTTTTAAGGACAATGAGGGAAATGTCTTCTTTGGATTATATGATTGCCAGACCAGACAAAATGAGGTAAATATCATTATTAATTCATAGATTACTCTTAGTTACTTTATTGTTTTTAGAGTTTTTTCTTCTTTCTGCCTCCTTTTACTAGATACAGATTCTCAGTTTCATTTTCTAAATTTTTTTTTTGCCTTCTCTTCTCCCTTTTACCATCTCTTGGCACCATTATCTTTAAAAAATGAATGAATGAATAAAATGAATGAAGCGCAAGAACTCCTGAACAAAAACATCACCTGAGGTTTCTTAGTCCTTTGAGATTTAAGCAAAATTGGCTCAAATCAATTATCCAATATTCTGTAGGAATGTAGGAAGTCCAGTGCCTTCCTGAGATTTGTGTGTCTTCTCTCAGAAGTTTAGGATTTCATATTGACCTCTGGCTCTGTGTTCTCCTTAACCTTCACTTCACTTCTTAAAGATCCAGGTATAGAACCCAGCCTCCATTTCTTAAGTTTTCGCCAAACCACCCACAAGGAGCATTGGTTGATGTGACAGGCTTACCTAATTCTCCGTGTAAATACAAGGGAGTCCCTTTGTGCCTGCGTAAAAACAACTTACAAATATTAAGGGACTAAGAAGTCTAGAAATGTACCCACGCACAGAAGATTCTCCAAACATGTTGTTATGTAAAAAAAAAAAAAAAGCAAATTGCCAGAATAATATATTTCATTTATGTTTATAAAAAACTTTCAGGACACCTGGGTGGCTCAGTTGGTTAAGCATCTGACTTCGGCTCAGGTCATGGACTCAGGTTCATGAATTCGAGCCCTGCATCGGGCTCTGTGCTGACAGCTCGGAGCCTGGAGCCTGCTTTGGATTTTGTGTCTCCCTTTCTCTGCCCCTTCCCTGCTCATGCTCTCTCTCTCTCACTCTCTCTCTCTCTCAAAAATAAACACTAAATTTTTTTTTAAAAAAACTCTCAATAAAACTATGCAATACATATGCATAAATATATATTAAAGGCTTACTTAAAAAGATCTGGAAGGCTACCTAGTAAATTCAAAACATGTTTCCTTTTGGAAGGGAGTTCATACTGAGTAAGCATAGCAGGGAGCTTTGATTTTTTATTTGATGGTGTCTGTGTGTTTTAAACACTGAGACTATACTTGTGTTATTTTAGAATTAAAAGGGTAAAACCCTAAAAGTTAAGTGTATACAACCATGATTCTTCTTACTTATAACTTAGAATCCCTTGGAGCAAGAGTCAAAGGAAACCAAAATGTCTCACATGAATTGTAAGCCTTCCTTATTCACTCAAAGTCCATTTTTTCTAATCAAGCATTTAGTGATATCTCAACATTTTTCATCAACTTCTGGCCATAGGATTCTAGTGTATTCTTGGTACTTTTTAAATCTACCAGTACTAATTACCTTCCTAGTACCCCTGTCACGTGTTGTTTCTCTTAGCCTGTTCTCTCCTGAGGTCTAAGACTCTTGATCTTTTCTTACCCTCTGAGTGTACTGTAAGAGAGTTTGCCTAATATAACTGCGATTGTCTTCATTTCCTCAACCTGCATATCATATGCTCCTCCTGCATGACCATTTTCATTTTCTTTAATATTTAATAAGGAAATGGAATCTTGCTTGTTTCAAACAGCAAGAAAATTTAAAAAAATTAAGATTAAATAAAAACAGAAGATTACTTTGCCAAGACTCTGAATATGAAGTCTTAATAGGAGATGCACTTGTGATGGTCTCTTAGACATAGTTAATGATATCATGGTTAGGTAATTTGGTTAAAACTTTACTTGTCTCAATAATTATAAAAGCTGACATCTGAGTGCTTATTATGGGTGGCAGACGTTATGATAAGTGCTTTGAATGGATCCTCTCACTTGATCCTTCTAAAGATTTCATGAAATAGGTGTTATGATTTTTATTTTACTAATAGAGATTGAATAACTTGTCTAAAGTCACACGGCTTGTCAGTGGCATAATCAGAATTTGATCCTGTGTCTGGCCTGGCTCCAAGGTTTAGACTCTTAACCACTTGGCCACGTTGCCTCATGGTTAAGCTCCAGTGCCAACTATGGCCTATGATTGCAGACATTTTTCTTAAAAAATAATCTGAGGGGTGCCGGGTAGCTCAGCTGGTTAAGTGTCTGACTTCATCTCAGGTCATGATCTCGTGGTCCGTGAGTTTGAGCCCTGCATCAGGCTCTGTGCTGACAGCTCAGAGCCTGGAGCCTGCCTCAAATTCGGTGTCTCCCTCTCTCTCTCTGCCCCTCCTCCCCGATCGCACTCTGTTCCTCTCCATCTCTCAAAAATAAAAAGTTTAAAAAAATGATCTGAAGCTTCTCAGTGTGGATAAACTGGTTAATTGATGGTTCTTTTCTAAAAGGTCTTGCCATCCTGATACCAGTTTCAGAACTAAATGGGAATTTGAATTCTATAATTGTTATTTAACACAAAACTCCAAAGTAAAAAATAATTTTGTTTTAATAGCATCTCTATACATTTGAAAAAGACTTGCACGTTGTCAGCTGCTCTGTCAACAGTGAGAGAACTTTGCTTGGTAAGTTGAGCTCTTTTATTGCTACATGTCAAGAACTAAACTACATTTGTTGAGTTTCAAAGTATGGGACTTTTGCTATACTTGACTATTCTACAACAATGATTTTCTGGGAATAAATGCTCCTGGGAGATTAATTTTGAAATAAAAAATCTGTGGAATCTATGTATAAAAAGAGAGAGAGAGGGAAGAAGGGAGGGGGAGAGAGAGAATGCTTTCCGCATTACCTTATCATCCACAGACAGATTTTTTTTGAGCCCTCACTTATTTCAGGTATAAAATGGTAAACTTTAACCAGCTGTTGCATGGATCACTTGCTAATGGATTATTTTTTCTTTTTCCATTAGCTGTGAGTTTAGTTCATTCTACTAAAGAAGGAAGAAAGAATGAGCTTCAACCAGGTATGACATTATAGTTTTTAGTGCCTGTTGAAAGATAAAGGTTTATTAACTAAGTCAAATTTCAAACATCTTTACAAATAGCTTTAACTCAGAAGGAAAAGGCAAAGGTCATGAAAATGTTTTTTATCTTTTTCAAATAAACAAGAAAGCACAGAAAATAATGGGACGGTAAATAGTAGAAGTATTAAAAAAGCATTTAGTACCTGCGGACTAAATAAACACTGAGAATATGCTAGAACCCTATGGTTCAGAAAGGGTTGGTGTTCCTTCAAGAATACCATTTTTATTTGTCTTAACATCTGGTGAACTATTGAGCAGTACATAATACATTATGAAGAGTCCACCAATTCTAAATAAAAGTTCCCATTTGCCAAGGCCACTTTGTAGTTTATTATCTATGTGGTACTCCCCCTGCCCCCCTTCTTTTTAACTTTCTATGTCATCCATCTGTCCAGGACTCAACAAAGAAGTGCCTGCAGTGGGTCAGGCCCTGTGCGTGATGCTGGGGATGCAATGTTATGCAAGACAGGTGTGGCAGTTGCTATCATGATGAGCTATAGAAACTAGTGGCAGGTGGGGTGTCCCATGGAGCATGGGTCCCCTCTTCAAAGGAGGGCAGTAAGCCCAGTGGGAGCAGCTTTTCAATTTATCAAGAGAAGTATGGACCTTTATGGAAATTTTTAATTTAATTAAAATTTTTTAATGTTTATTCATTTTTGAGAGACAGAGCGTGAGCAGTGGAGGGGCAGAGAGAGAGGAAGACACAGAATCTGAAACAGGCTCCAGGCTCTGAGCTATCAGCACAAAGCCCGACATGGGGCTCAAACTCACAAACTGTGAGATCATGACCTGAGCTGAAGTTGGATGCTTAACCGACTAAGCTGCCCAGGAACACTTAAGATTTTATTTTAAATTTTGGTTCAAATATTTTTTTAAAAATTCCTCTCAGGCACTGATAACCAACCTTACCTGTGGCTGATGTAGCCCATGGACTACTACCATTTTTCAATCTCTGGTGAAGTTCTCATTTCAGTCTCTTATTATTCTGATCGTGCAGCGCTTCCCATCTGTTGTGTATTCAGGACATAAGCTCCTTTTGTTAGCAGAGTCCTCACTCAGGCGTATTCTCCTGTGTTTGTGTGTGATGGAGAAACTTGATGTGCCTTCCTCCCCCATGAGGCTTATGAGGCAGTCCTGGGTTCCCATAGAGTCAGCTCAGAGGGTCAGGAGAACCAGAGTTGGGTCTGGATGAGATCTTCTCAGGGACCTCAGCACAGAGTTTATGGGAGATGCTGCTGGGCAGGAGGCTCACCTAGAAACCTCATCATCTGTATTATCCATCCTTGCCTTCCCTCCTGTCGTGTTACCCTGAGACCCACAGCAGCCACTTCCCTCTTGAGTGCCACGTCCTCTTGGCAAACTCTGCTCCTCTGAGCATGAAGTGCAATGCACACTTCAGAACTGATGAAACTGGACTCGCTTAAGTGAAATAGGATGTAAGACATTGATGTCCTGACCCTAAAACAAGGCTTGTGACCTCGATCGCCTTTACTTAAGAAGAGAAAGGCTTCATCTCTTGTGTTTCTCCCAATCACAAGCCTGGGCATCTCTACAGAACCTTGGATTAGGTCCCTGCGCCTAGGAGGGACCTTTTTGGCCCTATTCCTGTTAGCCTCTGGAATTCTTTCTTATGCTGGTGAACCTAGTAGAACCTATATTCTTTACATGAAGTTACCATCTGTGCCTGATTGTCACACAGAACAGTGGCAGTTATGCACATTACAAAATGTACTTTCAGACCAACTTCACTGTAAATTTTATTAAGTTAAATCCTATTCAGATATGCTTACTCAGTCTTAAAGTTTGATGCACTTCTGGTGAGATCGTCTGATCACATCTTTAAAAACACCAGAACGAATGTTGTTAGGTACCGTACTGGCTGCCTCATGTTTTATACCTTCTCAGCTCAGTTTTCATACCTGCCGCCACAATAAGAACCAACCGACTCTCCCCAAACATCATTGGACAGACGGCACCTTAACTCCACTGCTCTGCCTGCTTCTTGCTTTGTGCCCAGAGTCCTTGGGAGATTCTGTCTGCTACCTGCCTGTGTGCCACCTGGAAGCATGGCTGGAAAGGATTCCCAGTAGCATAAGCCGTTACCAATGAGGGGCCAAGGAGCTGAAGGATAAATACTCTCCTTTCCATCCCTGACATAGATCTTTCTGAGGTGCATTCCATTCAGGTCAAATCCCACGGTGGTCGTGAATTTGATACTGTTCCATAGAGTGGTGGATTCTTCTTCCTGTTTCATGCTGCCCACTCCCTCACGCCAGCCCTCAGGGCTAAAGTGATCGTGTCCCCTGAGATTACTTCTTGTCTTAGTTTGGGTTTCCCCCTGAAGTAGAGTCTGAGGCTAGTATTTGAATGAAATTTGTTTGAGGGATGGTGCTAGGAAATACAATTAGAGGAGTACTTAAGCAGAGATGTGAAAGAAGGGAGGGAGCAAGCACATAGCTGTGGGGAAAGCACATTTCTGGCTGTGACCACAGCCAGCATGAAGGTCCTGAGGCCAGACTGTACTTGGTAGATTTGCTGATCAAAGACAGTGAGGAGGTTAAAAGGGAGGGGAAAAAAAAAAAAAAAAAAAAAGGATAGTGAGGAGGTCAGTGAGGCTGAATGAAAAGGGGCAAATCGTCAAGAACTAAGGCCAGAGGAAAACCGGGCCAAGGTACAGAAAGATCACGGAGACCCTTATGAGGCCTTCGTTCAGTTAAGAGTTCAGAAATGATGTGACCAGAAAGCCCTGTAGAATCTATTATAATGTTTTACCCTTGGAGCAAATATTTTGGAAAGCCTTATTTTATCTGCCCATGAATGACCTGATAAGCCATTCAGTTATGAAATGTGGTTTGCCTGGAGGTGTTGTTTAACACACTGTTGCTTACAATGAGATTTTTCCATTGTGAGTGAGACAAACTGTCACATCTTTCCTATGAACAATACAGGGTTCTTTGGTCCACGTATTTTACAACATGGTTTTTATCAATAGTGCTTCTCTTCTTGGCTGTGGCCATGGCAGAGTTAATGTTTTGTTTGGAAAAGAGTAAAAGAAGAAGTGACTAGCAGTCAGTAGACCATACAATTTCTATCTCAGGGTCATGAGTTCAAGGCCCACATTGGGCATAGAACTTACCTGGGGGGAAAAAAAGATGGGGAGCCTGAGTGGCTCAGTTGGTTGAACATTCGACTTCAGCTCAGGTCATGATCTCACCGTTCACAGGTTTGAGTCCCACATTGGGCTCTGTGCTATCAGCTCAGAGCCTAGAGCCTGCTTTGGATTCTGTGTGTGTGTCTCTCTCTGTCCCTTCCCCTCTCTCAAAAATAAAGAAACATTAAAAAAAATATTAAAAAGTTATAGAAGAAAGAATTGAAGGGCCCAGCCGCCCCCTTCACCCTCCTCTGTGGAATTGCATTTGCCCCAAGGCACAGTAGATCCCCACTGGGCAGCTATTGAGGTGTCTACACGTGTTGGGCCCCAATGCCAGAGACTCTCGTGGGGCCCCCTGCATCATTATAGATAGTTAAGTGCTGTAATGCTGTGGAGCTGTGCTTTGGTTCAAGAGCTCCAGTAACCAGAGCTGCTTCAGAACCAGGCCCTATTGGCCTTTACCAACTTCATCAGTCCTTAAAGTCTGATGCACCTCTAGTGAGATTAAATGATCACATCTTTAAAAATGTTAGAATTTTCACAGCATGTATCTTTACCAGGTACTTTTGTCCACTCTCTATCCTCCCCATGCTATGCCTAACCTTCTGGCTTTTTTTAAATTTTATTTTTCAATTTATTTAAGCTAACAAGACAAAACAGTTCACCTATTTCTCCCATTCTCCACCCCCCACCTCTTGTAACTGCTAATTTGTTCTCTGTATCTATAGGCATGTTTCTTTTTCTCTCTTTCCAAGAGTCCACACCTAAGAGATACCATACGGTGTCTTTTTCTGACTGATTTCACTTGACACAATGCCCTCAAGGTCCATCCATGTTGTCCCTTTTGATCCCACTGTCTCTACTTTCTGTGATAGCTACATCCTGCCCGGGTCTGGCTTGCCCTTCAGTGAGACCCTCCTTGTCTCCCCTGAGATCTGCATTCTCTAACTTCTTAAGACAACTTTAAGTACTTCATGGAATCATGGGATTTCATGACTGAAAGTGATTGTGGAAATGATCTGATTCTATAGTTCTTGTGTTTTTAATAACAAGGCACTGAAGCCTAGGAGAGCTTCATCCTTTCTAGTTGACTCTAGAACTGATATCTCTAGAGTCCTGATCCCAGGTGCATCGTGTCACACCATGAAAGCACATAGTGTGTTATTGAGAGAAATTCCTTTTACACGATTACTCTTATCATTATGCTGATTATATTAGGTAAGTGTCTGGACTGCCCTAAAGAAGGGAAAAATTAGTGTGGGGAGATGGTTTCTGTCCTTGAAAATCCTCCCATTTTAAAGTCAAGTGAATTTAGTTGATAGCTGGTTATCAAATTCATTGCCAAAAAATCCAAATATGAGTTGATTCTTTACTTTTGCAATTACAAGCTTCCCCTACATGTCCCATGAAAAGGTGTTTTTTTTGTTCCCCAAATTAGAATATATAGACTTTTGGGGCAAAAGATAAAAGAGCCAAATGTCAGCTTGTAGTACTTAATTTATTAATTTAGTTATACAAGCTTAATATAAAAAAACATAATAAGGAAAATTGTTTTTTCTCATTGTCACATTTCACAAAACATTTCTCTTTTTCTTTTCAAGTGTCATTGACACCAATGTTTTTCTTATTCCTAGAACCTTTTTTTTTTTTTTGAGTGATCAAACAGATTCCCAAAGCTCCTGACCTTTACCTCTGTCCCAGTTATTAGAAGTATAGTTCTTATGAACTGATCTATGATCGTGTCACTGGGATTTTGGGTTTTTTAAAAAAAATTTTTGTTAATATTTATTTATTATTGAGTGAGAGGTTGCAAGCAGGGGAGGGGCAGAGAGAGAGGGAGACACAGAATCTGAAGCAGGCTCTGGGCTTGAACCCACAAGCTGCAAGATCATGACCTGAGCTAAAGTCAGACACCCAACCAACTGAGCCACCCAGGTGCCTCACTGTCACTGGGATTTTTATCTCAAACTATAAGTACTGTTGACCAAACAATGTTTGATTTTCATTTGTTCTGTTCTTGTATATTTCGGATCCCACATAATAACTCATTGTCTTGTTGTTTTCAGTAATCTTTAAAAGGCATGTTTACAAAGACTAAAAAAAAAAAAGTAAAAAAAGTCCTTACAATTGTGAGGCCATATCCCATGAATTGTTTTACATTCTTTGCCTTAAGAAAATATGTTTACTTATTTATTTTTGAGAGAGAGAGAGAGTGGAAGAGGGAGAGGGGCAAGGAGAGAGAGGGTGAGAGACAATCTCAAACAGGCCCCGGGCTCTCAGTGCAGAGCCCAACACAGGGCTCGATCCCCAGGAACTGTGAGATCATGACCTGAGGTGAAATCAAGAGTCAGATGCTTAACCTAACCGACTGAACCACTCAGGCACCCCTACCTGGGTTTTTTGTTGTTGTTTCTGTTGTTGTTGTTTTTTTTAAAGCAATGCTGTCAGACTAGTTTCTTAAATAGTGAAAACTGGCATTGATTCAGTTCCAGATTGCTGTGCTGTCTCCAAATTTTATATTATTTTTCAAAACAAAGTCATTGAAAAAGCATGAGAGCATAGTAAGTTTTTATAAGAACTCAGATATAAGACAACTCCTTCTTCTCTGAGGCTTAATCTTAGGGGAGGGGAATTTTTGGCCTAAATGTGGATATCTGTGGTAATCCCATTCTGGCCTGTTTCCAAGGACTTCCTTTTAAATTGCTATCTTTTAGGACATTTGCTACAATGTGACACTGAGGAAGTAAGTGGGTCTTTATCAGGGTAGTTCCATCATGCTTCCCAAGGGAAGCCAAGCCTCTGCCCTCTTAGTAGGCACTCTCAACTGTAGTGTGTTCGAGCTTCAGAAATATCTACATTGTCATACACAAGCAGTATTTGCCAGAGTGCTGCAGGATTGGAGGGGCAGATAATTGAGTTGTGTTTGCTTAGACTTAGAAACTCAGAGGGCCTATGACGTTGTGCTATGTGGCTGAGGGATGGGTAGGAACCTGTTCCTCTCTCCATACATATTGCTTTCTCCTTCACAAGGTTTTCTCTGTCTGTTGTGGGTTTTAAGAGCTGTCAAAGTAAATTTTAAGAAAATTACTTTTCCCGTTGAAATAGCTAATACAGCTATTATTAGGTAATACAGATAACGTTTACATTTTCAAAGTTCAGACGCAAGTGGAGAAGATCTTGAATGACATTCTCATCTTCATTACTAAAAGCCTCTTTTCCTTTGTAGGATCGAAGTGTTTAACTTTGTTGGTTGAAATCCACCCTGTTAACAATGTGAAGGTTCTAAAAGCAGTGGATAGCTATATTTGGGTGCAGGTAAGTGAGGATGTCCATTTATCACTCATCTCACTAATCAGAAGGCGTGAAACTTAGAGGCAATGGTGCTTATAAAGTGTTTTCACACCCATTATCACCTTTAATCCTCAAAGCCATCTGGTAGATGGGTATAGTTGGAATTATCAGCTCACCTTTTGCAAACACGGAAATCAAAACAAAACCTAGTTCCTCTGTCTCTGTTATATCATGGTTTGTAATGTTCTTACATGATAAAATACTATCAAAACACATTTAAGGTAAGTTTATTTTCTTTAACACCCTAAGGTAAGTTTAAAAAATAGTTTATTTCGTGTATTCATATAGTTGATGGAGTAAATATGATTAAACAACTTAATCACTGAATTTGTCAGTCTATGAAATGGTACAGAAGCACTGTATGTACAGCGTGGGTGGACCAGATCTAGTCAATCTTCATTATGAGCACATTTTGAATTTGTAAGTTGCCCTGCTCACTAGAATCTGTAACACCAAAGTCAATGCCCATGGTGCCATCGCAATTATCTGCAGACATGTGCAAAGTGGTGAAAAATTTGTCATTCAGCTGAGGTTGAACGAGGTGACACTGCCTTCTTGATTGAATTCTTATACATAAAGAAATGCCATTTTTGTGATCTATTTAGCACCATGATTTTCACCTTTTTGGGTTTTTTGTTAGTGATTTTACTCTTTCAAATGTCCCCCACACATAGTACTGAAGTGCTGGCTACTGTTCCTAAGCTCAGAAAGGCTGTCATCTGGTTTGAGAGAATATATGGGTTAGGTTAGCTTCATTAAGGCATGAGTGCTGTTGACCATGAGTTCACTGCTAATGGATCAACAATATATATTAACTAAGATGTCCTTTATAAAAACAGGAACACACATGAAACAAAATTGTGTATTAATTGGTTGGCAGAAATGTTGTGACCAGGCAGGAGCCTATCCTTGTATTTCCCCTTGGAGTAATGGCTCAGCATTCAGTATACGGTGTTTGTGGTGACTCCATAGGATCCAACTGCCACAGGTGACCTTGAACTGCACGTTCATGCGGTGCTGTAGCATGATTTCCTCATGTAACCTGAATGATCTGCTTTTCCTTCCACCTACTCCCAGCCTCAAGCCGGTGGGTCTCCCTCCTGCAATGTGCCAGGAGAGGGACCTCTCTCCCATCCCCCCGCTCAGGTCCTTCACTGGGGTCCACTGCCTGCTTCCAGCTCTTAGCTGTATTCTCCCTCCCCCAGGAAGCTGCTATGTTTACACTGTCATCAGTACAGGGGTGACTGTGGGACAGACTACACTTCCCTTTTCTGGACTGTTCTTTTGGCTTCCTTAGCATCTCCACCCAGAGCTGAGTAGGCAATGGAGACATTATTGAAGGATTAGGGCAGCTAAGGGGAATTAGAGGACATGAGGGGAAAGGGTTTTTATAAGTATATATACTTGCACAGCCTTGTGAATGCATTAACAAGTACTGAACTGCATGCTTTAAAATAGTTAAAAAGGTGATTTTTTGTTATACAAATTTTATCGTAATTAAAAGCAATTAATAGTACATGATGCATGACTACATACATTAGGCCAAAAGGAAAGTCCCTACCCAGATGAGGTAAAACTTGAACCTGTCTTGTGGACCCATCTCTGTGCCTAGCCCTGCTCCCTGCTCCCTCATTCCTATGCTTCTGGAGGGAGAAAATCCTCCAAGCCTCCATCCAAGGCAATCCCCTACCTCCTTTCTCCCTCCTTCTCCCCTTCAGAGAAATGCCATTCATTGTCCACTGAATTTAGTCTTTTTTTTTTAAAATTTTTTTTTTTAATGTTTTTTTTTTTTATTTATTTCTAGGAGAGAGACAGCATGAGTAGGGGAGGGTCAGAGAGAGAGGGAGACACAGACTCTGAAACAGGCTCCAGGCTCTGAGCTGGCAGTCAGCACAGAGCCCGACGCGGGGCTCGAACCCACGAACTGCGAGATAATGACCTAAGCGAAAGTCGGACGCTTAACCGACTAAGCCACCCAGGCGCCCCTGAATTTGGTCTTGCCCTGAAATCTGTCTCCCTTTTCTTATCAAAACATTCACGGTGATCTCTGGTAGTACATTTCCCCAAGTCTATATGTGCAGCCTTGACCTCCTTCACAGAGACAGTAGTGGGTAGGGTTTGGATCCCAACCTGGCACCTTTTGAGAATCACCTACCGACATAACCTGCATCTTCCACGTATTTCCAGATAGCCACCTATAGTGCATATCTTCCAACTGAATATTAATAATAATCAGAGCCTAGCTCCATATCTGTGAAGATAAATATTTCCCTAATATGATGTAATCTATATAGATTTCTACGCACACTGCCAAAAAACCCAAAAAACCTTGTATGCTTTTATTGAGCTGCGTCTAAAACCTGTTTGTCTGTCTATTTTTATTTTTGAGCGTGAGCACACATGCAAGCAGGGGAGGGGCAGAGGAAGAGGGAGAGAGAAAATCTCAAGCAGGCTCCACACCCAGCACAGAGCCCAACATGGGGCTCAATCTCAGACTGTAAGGTCATGACTGGAGCCAAAATCAAGAAGCAGACACTCAACTGACTGAGCCCCCCAGGTGCCCCTGAAGTCTATTTATATTCTCATTCCTAGGCCTTGCTCTAAGGCTCCCTCAGACTAGAAAGGAAAACCACCATCACCTAAATGGAACTTTTAAAATCATGTTCTCAGTGATTGCCACACAAACACCAGGCAAAGGTTTAGAACCTGTTAGCACCTCACTCCAGGTCACAGTCCTAGGCAAGCATGCCTTGGCCACCTCTGTAGTGTTCTGTAAGACCATTTCCTTATTTTGAGGCACTGAGTGTTGGCTCTTCCATTTTCTGTATGGTGGCACTCAGCTTTGCTTCTCGTCAACTCCAGTACACACAGTTTACTGTTTGATGTGCAGTTTCACAAATCAGGACATAGTAACTTCTATGTTATTTTCATAGCTGATTTCTGCACTGCTGTCTATTTTATAATTTTGACGTTTTTGCCATGAAGAATGGTGTATTGTTAATGTTCTGTTTTTCAGTAGTAAAAGGGAAACTTGACTACAGACAGTTTAAAAAATTTTCCAGTTCTAGGGGCACCTGGGTGGCTCGGTCAGTTAAGCGTCCAACTTCGGCTCAGGTCATGATCTCACCGTTGGTGAGTTCCTGCCCCACATTGGGCTCTGAGCTCACAGCTTGAAGCCTGGAGCCTGCTTCAGATTCCGTGCCTTCTTCTCTCTCTCTGACCCTCCCCTGCTTGTGCTTTCTCTCTCAAAAGTGAATAAATAAACTAAAAAAAAAAAATGCCAGTTCTATTTTCATTTTGTCATCCTGAGAAGTTAGAACACCAGGTAATACATTTTGTCAAAAATTTTCCTAGTCTTTAGAAGGGCTGCTGATTATAAAACAGGGATGTAAAGAGGTTACGTTCTCTCATGATGCTTTGAAGTTTGGAGGGAAACAACAAAATTCAGGGGTGGATGTTATCTCGTAAGCGGTTTCTCATGTTACAAAATGAAACTGCTGATTTATAATCACCCTTTTGATGATGAAAGAATTAAGTCACTGGAGTCATCCCATGACCTCTTTTCCCTCATCATCACTGCTGGTGACATCAGGCTGTTGTTTCAGGCAGGCTGCTTTGTCCTGTGGGCTGATCTGGGAGAGCACAGAGAAGGAGCAGTGGGGTGGATAGAGCCTTTTCTTCCCCGCGGCAGTCATTCCATTATTTGAGGCTTGTAAATCCTCCACCACATGCCACATTGTGACTCACTGTTCTGTCTTGGAAAGTCCCGCGTTACGTTATGCTTTGTCTCTTGGATGTGGGACTTTGGAAGTTGTAGGAGAGCTTACGTTTACTTGGTCGTCAAATTAAATACTAGGATTCATTGCACAACAGATATATTGATCTCTTTTTTTTTTTTTAATGTTTTTATTTATTTCTAGGAGAGAGAGAGAGAGACAGCGTGAGCAGGGGAGGGTCAGAGAGAGAGGGAGTCACAGACTGAAACAGGCTCCAGGCTCTGAGCTGGCAGTCAGCACAGAGCCCGACGCGGGGCTCGAACCCACGAACCGCGAGATCATGACCTAAGCGAAAGTCGGACGCTTAACCGACTAAGCCACCCAGGCGCCACATATTGATCTCTTTTTTTTGTGCGTGCAAAATAGAACTTTCTGTATAGATGTTGTTGATATTGTTTCTGATTGGCTTCAGAATCACATTCTAGAATAGGAAGCACCATCTCTAGAAGTAAGCTCATACTTAAGCCTTACTATTTAAATGAATTGTGTTGGACCTGCCATCAGTTTCCCCCTGGAAAACTGAACTCCTGAAAGTGTTTCATTTTCCTCCTTGTTTCAATCTGCTATAAATGATTCTACGGGCCCCAGTACCTTCTAGGGTATGTAGTAGTATAGCAGTCAAACCTTCTGTAATATTTGTGTAAGCAAGGTAGTTGTTGCTTATGATTTTGATTCGTTTCCTTTTTATAGTTTCTCTACCCCCATGTGGAAAGTCATCCTCTTCCAGAGAACCATCTGTTACTGATTTCAGAAGAGAAATGTAAGTATATCCTTAGGTGGTATATACAAACTTCATGAAGGGCACATCTCCTAGTGAGGTGTGGGACTTGACTGAATCTTCTAGATGTTCACTCACCAGCACTGAAGGTCCAACTGACCTTTGATGTTCATTTCAGATCTAGCACTCCTGTGAAAGGGCATTTCCTTTTCCCCCAACTTGTCCCCTTAGGCTCTGCTCTGTTTCCCCATCCCAGGAACGATGGGCTCCTACGTGCATGGATTTCTGTGTTTGTTACCTGGTAGAGTGTAGAACAGTGGTGGAGGTCATTTTATCCTTCTTTAATTCATCCTTCTTTAGGATATCTGTCACCTTGGATGGAGAAGGGGGAAGGTATTAGAAGCCAGAGGAATTTGATGGTAGACTTTGAGGACCCATACTTGTTCAGATTCAGGTAGAGGCAAATAAGATTGGGACATCCTCTAATGAAGTTCCCACTTGGGTGGGGAGGGTGGCAGAGAAAGGGTAAAATCCACTGGTGGAACTTACCCAGTAAGCCATCTTTCATGTTATAAAGTGAAACTGCTGATTGATAGTGGGAAGGACAGGCCTGAGGGTGTTAGGTTCATGTTCAGTTTCTTTGCTCTTGACTGATTATCTATCTCCCATTTTTGTAACTAGTCTGCCAGAAGGTTAAGTATGGGTGAGTCTAGATTGCTTCCTGAGAGAAAGGGACCATTCACAAATCCACCTAAATTGCTGAGAGTTCTCTTATTGTGAAATTAATCCCTATAAAATTACCTCCCAATATCTTGTATAATGAGGCTTCTCATTATTTTCATACGATATTTTCAGATGATATTTGGAAATTGGAGATAAACCCTGCCAAAGGAACCCCTGTTAGTTCTAGATAAGACTGGTGGTGCAGGGGAGGCCAAGATTTTAGGGACTCTAGGGGAGCAGAAGAGTTAAATGTCTCATCCATTGTTGCTGTCGAGGAACAGAGTAAATGCTAGATTTGTCATAGACTGTGGAGGGAGGCTGGAGACAGGTGGGTTTTATTTTCACTTACATTACAAAATTGCTGCCTGTGACAATATTATTTTTCCATCCAGTTGATTAATCTGCATTGCTTTTATAAATAAACGTTCACCACTGTTAGGTGTAAAAAAGTGCTCGTGATTTTCATAAAGGTTAAACTGTCTGTTGTTTCTCTTTTTAAAGATATTGAAAAGTTTCATATCCAAGTCATCCAAGAAGATGGAAATAGAGCGGTAAATATTTGAAATTTCTTTTGCTTCAGAGTTTTTTCCCACAGAGTGACATTTCTAGACTGTTATGAATAGAGTAATGTTATAGACACAAACCACTATTTGTCACCTTTCAAATTACAGACTTACTGTTGTAACATGTGAAATAATGTGAGATCTATGAAGGGGTTAATTATCTCCTTTTTATCTTGATCTCATTGTCCAATCTCAGTCTCCTGAGATAACTCATGACAGCCTTATGTGACTCTTCCCACACCTTTACTTTGCTCATACAAACATACACATATGAAGGAAATCAGTTGTTTTTACCAAATAGAACTATAATATATATTATATATATATATTTGCCATTTTTGTTTTTGCTTTGTACTTAGTATATCAGGGCTCTCCCTGTAGGTTTTTAATTAGAAATGTAACTTTTTTCTCTAATTTTTATACATACATAGAATAAATGGGATCATAACATACATGCTGGGGGATTATACAGTTCAATTTTCTTTCCTTTTTCTTTTCTTTCTCTCTCTCTCTCTCTTTTTTTCTTGTATGCTACTTCTCCCTTGTGTTTTCATCTCTAACTTTTGTCTAAAACCTATTATGTATCCTTTTGTGCTGTTCTTCATACGTGTATATGTCTCATCCCCACCCCTGACACACCCAGGGTTTGTTTATTATTAACTCCTTCCTCCTACAACTTTGTGGCATTACCTGCAAGTCAACCTGAATACGTCAATTCATTCTTTTTAGAAGCACATAATAGTCCCTGGTGTGGACGTACGCAGCTTCTATCATTCTTCTGTGGATGGGCACTCACTTCATTGCCACTTTAAAAAACTCTGCTTGTGTTACAAATCATCTCAAATATTTTTTTTATAGCTTTACATGTATCATACACATATTTTTTTGGGTTAAATCCTCAGGGAGGGATAATTGGGTTGATGGATGTATGCATTTAATGTATTTCAACAGATTTTGCTAGATTGCTTTCCACAACACCTTGTAACAATTTACAGTTGTACAAGCAATGTGTAAGGGAATGCTTTCTACCTATACCAATTATAGGCACATTTGCCTTTTATTTATTATTTTTATTTTTTTAAGTTTATTTTTGAGAGAGAGAGAGTGCAAGCAGGGGAAGGGCAGAGAGAGAAAGAGAGAATCCCAAGCAGGCTCCATGCAGATAGGGCAGAGCCTGACACAGGGCTCTATCCCATGAACCAAGAGATCATGACCTGGGCTGAAATCCAAGATCAGAGGCTTAACCAACTGAGCCACCCAGGAACACCTGCATTTGCCTTTTAAAAAGAATTTCCAGGGGTACCTGGGTGGCTCAGTTGGTTGAACATTGGACTTCAGCTCAGGTCATGATCTCATGGTTCATGAGTTCGAACCCCACATCAGGCTTGCTGCTGTCAGCCTGTCACGCAGAGCCCGCTTCAGATCTTCTGTCCCTCTCTCTCTGCCCCACTTTCCCTGCTTACGCTGTCTCAAAAATAAAGATTTTTAAAAATGTTTCCAATTTGATGTGTTTAAGTTGATATCATTATTATTTTAGTTTGTATTTCCCTTAATGTTACTGGCTATGTGAATTTGTTTTTCTGAAAATTGCTTAATTATATGCTTGTCTATTTTTCTATTGAGTTGTCTTTTTCTTGATAATTTATGTAACATCATAATATATTATTGGTATTAAAATTATTACCTTCAGTATTTAAATAGTCTGCGTCAAAATAATCTTCTCCAAGGATTTTAATTTTAAAGTTACATGAACAACATTGAAATGAAAAATGTCATTTATTAATTATGTATCTATGATTGAAACCTCAGCTCAAGAGGTCTGGCTGGAAAATGACTAGAAAGTGTGTGGTTGGAGCTCTGGGCCACCAGTGGCATGGATGGCAGGGCACTGTAAGGGCTACTGGTCAGAAAAAAGGCCAGAGAGGAAAGGTGAAGGTAGAATCCCAAAGCCAGCAATGTGAATTTAGAGGAGAGCATCCTCTAGGATTTCCAGTTCTGTGAAATAAACAAGACTAGAACTGGGTATAGACAGAGGACTGCCTGGTTAGAATGAGAGATACTGCAGAGTGAGGACCTCTGTCAGCAGCCAACACAGTGCAGCCTCAGCACTCCATCCTTGCGTGCCCTTCTGGGAAGCATCACTGCCCTTATTTTTAAGGGCTTAGATGACAGTGTCTTAAGGCAGTGTGCAGTTCCTTGCATTCATCACAACATCCTGCAGTAGGTAGGCAGAATTATAATTATGTCCATGTTTGCAGAAAATACAACCAAGGCTCACAGAGGTGAGGTTACTAAAGAGAGGGGCGAAATTGAGATGTAAACCTGGGTTGCCACACTCTGATGATCATGTTCTTGTCAGTATATTCCTTTATCTGCGAGTCCCCAAAGCTCTCCTAATTTAACATAGAAAAGTGGGAACAAGATGGGTTCCCCAAAGCTAAGAATCTTGTTGAGAATATAAAGGTGTTGCAGGGGAGTGCAACTGGGCTAGACTTACAGAATTAGTTAAATGCTAACTGTAATAGAAATACGCCAAAGTATGAGAATGTAGAGAAAGGGGAACCATCTTGCACTGTTAGTAGAAATGCAAACTGGTGCAGGCACTCTGGAAAACAGTGTAGAGGTTCCTCAAAAAATTAAAAATGGAATTACCCTATGACCCAGCAATTGCACTACCAGGAATTTATCCAAAGGATACAGGAGTGCTGATTCAAAGGGGCACATGCACCCCAGTGTTTATAGCAGTGCTATCAACAATAGCCAAATTATGGAAAGATCCCAGATGTATGTATATATACATATACCACATCTTCTTTATCCATTCATCAGTTGATATATATATATATATATATACACACACACATATATACATATATACACACACACACACACACACACACTTATACTCACATACAGGAATACAATTCAGCGATGAAAAAGAGTGAAATCTTGCCATTTGCAACAACATGGATGGAACTGGAGAGTATTATGCCAAGCAAAATAAGTCAGAGGAAGACAGATATCACATATCACAGATATCACTCATATGTGGAATTTGAGAAACTTAACAGGGGAAGGTAGGAAAAATAAGATAAAAAGAGAGAGGGAGGCAAACCATAAGAGACTCTTAAATACAGAGAATAAACTGAGGGTTGATGGGAGTGGGGAAAACGGGTGATGGGCGTTAAGGAGGGCACTTGTTGGGATGAGCACTGGGTGTTACATGAAAGTGATGAATCACTGGATTCTACTGCATGTTAACTAACTTGAAAATTAAAAATTAAAAAAAAAAAAACTATGCCAGAGTCCCATAGGAATAAAGAGGTGGTGAGCTTTGCCTTGATCTTGGGGGAAGGTTAGGGAGAGGTTTGTACAGGAGGCAATGCTAAGTTAGGCCTTGAAAGATGAGTAGTTAAGTATTGCTTGAAGGATGGGAAGTATCACCATACTCATTGTGAAGAGATAAAGGTAAGAAGCATGACATGAATAGTTTATGGCAGGTCTGGGATCATTGCCCAATACTCCCCACCCCCAAGCCTGAGTTTTTCCCTTGGCATCACAGCTGCTTCCTTTGGTAGTAAAGTCCTTTTGTCTGCAGATACCTCAGTGAATTAGGTACAGAATGGGAAGCTCTGAATCTTCTATTAGCCTAGGTATTGATTTGTGGTAGGTGTGGCCTTGCCTTCAACAGCCCCGGCCTGTCTGGCAAACCAGGGACAAGAATAATATTATTTATTATAGAGTGTTTGTGAGGAGTAAGTAATGAAATAATGCCTTAAATCTTTTCTGGAAAGACTTTCCATGTGTATGTGTTGGGGGTAGGGGATTGCTAAAAATAATCCGTGGAAATATTTGTATGTATTAGAAAGATAAAATATGCAGAATAATAAATCTAGATATAGTCTCCTTAGAAATAGTTACTTATTTCTAAATCTCTTTGCCTCTTTAGGTAATTAAAGACTCTGGTCATCTCCCGAGAGAGAGAGTAGCTGAGGAATTTGTTTGGGCTCAATGGGATATGTCAGAGCAGAGATTATACTACATTGACCTAAAGGTAAAAATGAGTCCACTGGCCTCCTTTTACAGGAACAATTTAATCTTGACATTATCATTGTTACAATTATTGCATTTTAATTGATGGGGAAGTCAATGAAGGTTTATTAAAAATATGAAAATGTTTTCATTACTGTTTGCTTCTTGGTTACTTCCCCCCCCTTTTTCTTTTTTATTAGTGTTTTGTTATCTTTTAAAATTGTAATTTGTTATTTATTCTGTTTTCTAGAAATCAAGGAGTATTTTAAAATGCATCCAGTTTTCTGCTGATGAGAAGTTTAACTTAATGGTAAGTCCAGAGAATGACTGGGGCTACAGGAAATTTTATAACACATGGCCTCCTTTGAAAGAGAGCTGTTATCAGAAAGAGCATCTTAGCCTTGTTGTTGTGTTAGTCACTTGCATGAGCAAGTAACATATCTTAAGCCTTCAACTCTATAGTAAGTACAATTAGTATAGGTGATTAGGAGAGCACATAGGAAATTTCTGCTAACTGAATGTCTCTCATTAAAAAAACAAGTGTATGAGTGAGGACTAGTGGAAGGTAATAGGTATGATCTATAGTATATAGCTCTAAATGTTTACAAGTCATGTGACCCCAAAAGACTTGTGCGAATGGTGGATTTGAGTGTGGAGTAAAACATCAATGAGAGTGTATGATCTGGTTAGTAAAAATCTAGCATCACTGTTGGCAAAGCCATATGGAATGCTAGTCTAGTGATGAGGAATCATAAGTATCTTTTACCTGTGATGGTTAGAATGTTATCCTTCTTCACTAGGATTAATATTGGTGTCTAATATAAATTGATATCAGACCATTACAAGAATTTCATTTACTCCTCTTTCCTTTTTTTTTTTTTTTTTTTTTAACTCACTCGTTCTCTTTCTAAAGACACCCAGTCTTTCCCTCCGGGCATGGTCATCTCTGTCTTGTAAAAGTCTACCCCTACTGACTGGCTTCTTGTATAACCCATTTATGATACTCAAATCCGAGGCATAGTTTGCCAAGTATTAGTCCTTTAAGAAATAAATATACATCAAGCTTGTGATTGTATATAAACTCCAGAATATTCCCAATGGACTCCCTGTGCTGTGGTTTTGGGAGATAACTTCTGAAGATAATGATGGTTAAATAAATAGGTGGTTCATCAATAGGAAAGCACAGCATTGTCAGGCTTACGCTGGGCTTCAGAAATATCAACACTTAATGTCATTTTTTGGTTTATTTTCTCATGATTTTTTTTCTCGTGATTCTTTGACAGTTTGAAGCACCATTGGATATAACATTAAGTGACTCGGGATTTAAGTAAGTTATTCATAGATTACTGCTAATTTTTGTAGAAACTTGTGGGCAGAGTGATTATATTTATACCTAATCTGTGGTGTACAGATAAAAGGACAGTTCAGTATCGTGTGTGTGTGTGTGTGTGTGTGTGATCTTTTAGATTTCTGTCCTCCATAGGAAATATAAACAACTTTATCAAGCACGAACACAGGGTTTTTCATGTAAGTCAATCATATTGATTTTTGTAGCCATTTATTTCTGTAGGATGTTTCCATTTATTTTGATCTGTGAAAGTCCTCTTCTCCCTGTGATCCAATAAAAGGATTTGATGAGTCCGCGAGGGTTGCATTTAGAATCCAACATCAAAACCCTTTCCTTGTTGCCATCAAAGAGGATTGCAGCTCAGTTTTATCTGTTTACTATTTGTCTTTTTTCCTTTTTACACAAAAGGTGAGCTTTTTCCCCTCGAACTGTTTTACACATAGTAAAAACATGAATACTTTTGAAAAAATAGACACAAGCCTACTAGCACACAGAAGAAATGAAAGCTGTCTTGAATTAGACTACTGATAATCCTAAGCTGTTCTATATTGCAGTAGCTTTATTTCATCACATATGAACACTTAGTTGTGCTTATTTTGAAACAGTGTATGCAATTCTCTCATTAGAATAAAGTTATATCACTTTCAACTTCTTTTAAATATTTTTTTTCTCTATTGCCAGGACCATTGGTGATTTTTTAAAAATTCTTTTTCTAATGTTTGTTTATTTTTGAGAGAGAAAGAGAGAGAGAGAGAGAGAGAGAGAGAGAGCATGAGCAGGGGAGGGGCAGAGAGAGAGGGAGACACAGAATCTGAAGCTGTCAGCACAGAGAGAGAGAGAGAGAGAGAGAGAGAGAGAGCATGAGCAGGGGAGGGGCAGAGAGAGAGGGAGACACAGAATCTGAAGCTGTCAGCACAGAGCCCCATGTGGGGTTAGAATCCAGTGAGATCACGATCTGGATAAAGTCAGACACTTAACCGACTAAGCCACACAGGTGCCCGCTGGGTTTTTTTTCTTTATTACTATTTTATAGAATTTCAAACACAAAGGCCCACGTTATCTACTTAAGTTTCTCAGGGACAAGTCTCTACTTTGGTGGGTATGTTATAGATGTTACTATCCTTTATGAGGGAACTTTATTTTTTATTTAAAAAAAATCTTCCTATTAGGGGTGTCTGGGTAGCTTTGTCAGTTAAGCATCAACTCTTGATTTCAGCTTAGGTCATGATATCATGGTTCATGGAATTGAGTCCCACATTGGGCTCTACACCAACAGTGTGGAGCCTTCTTGGGATTCTCTCTCTCCCTCCCTCCCTCTCTAAATAAATAAATAAAGAAGCAAATAAATATAAAGCAATTAAAAAAATTCTTACTAAAAGTGTAGTTGACACACAATGTTATGTTAGTTTTAAGTGTACAACATAGTCCAATATGCAATGCTCACTGCATTAAGTAAAAGAGGAAACTATTTTTAAGTTGATTTATTTATTTTCAGAGAGAGAGAGCAGAGGAGGGTCAGAGAAGAGAGGGAGAGAATCCCACACAGGTTCCACGCTGCCAGCTACGGAGCCTGACACAGGGCTCGAACTCACAAAGTGTGAGATCATGACCTGAACTGAAACCAAGAATCTGTTGCTTAACTGATTGAGCCACCCAAGAGAACCAACTTTTATTTTTTATTTATTTATTTATTTATTTATTTATTTATTTATTTTTAACATTTATTTATTATTAAGAAACAGAGAGAGACAGAGCATGAGCAGGGGAGGGGCAGAGAGAGAGGGAGACACAGAATCTGAAGCAGGCTCCAGGCTCTGAGCTGTCAGCACAGAGCCTGACACGGGGCTTGAAACCACAAACTGTGAGATCGTGACCTGAGCCGAAGTCAGACACTTAACCGACTGAGCCACCCAGGCGCCTTGAGAACCAACTCTTAAAGGCATTCACAGTTTCTTATCCTTTATGTTTTTAGACTTGTAAACTTTGGATGTGATGATCTTCAAGACCCAGAGAACTTATCAAAACACCTGACCCTGTGCGTTTTTACCAACCATACAGGTAGAACCAGGATTATATTTATCAATTTATTCAATTGTACTTGAGTTCTATACAAAATTTAGTCATTGTTGTAGCTATATGGGTCCTTAAAATATAATAGAGCCACAATCTTACATAAGTGATCCTATGGATATTTATATAGTATATGAAATTATCTTCTCTACTCCAATTTTATTCATCTTTTATCTGCATAAAGGAAACCATAGTCAGCAGGGTTATTTTTTTGTACTTTTTAATAGAGGGGATGGATTCATATGTAATTAATCTACATTGTCTCACCTGCTCCATCTTTTAACATATGGCATACAATTATAAGGATGCTTTTTGTGTCAGGCTTACTAATGTATTTGGGCTCTAAACCTATGTACTGGGCTGCTTTAAGAGCATGCTAGAACTTACTGAGTTAACAAAGCTTGACAAAGTTATTAGTGTACTGTAATCCTCTAAATGGTCAACTCTAATAACTAGATCTAATAGCCATTTTTAATACCCTAGCTTGAGTAGACAGTTAGCACTGAGTTAAATAGCACTTGTTGTAAAACCGTATTCCTTTAAAGCCAGATTGTGTGGTATTCACTAAGCCAATGTTTAGGCAGACTTACTGTATGCTAGGTATTGGAGAAACAATGATGAGAAAAACTGTCCTAATTTTTATTAGTATGGACATTACTGTTTGGATTTTAGACAATAAAAAGTGCACACAGAGTATTTCAATAGAATCTTGATAAAGTGTAGGAATTAGGAAGTGTATGAGAGTGTATGATGGAAGGTGCTAATATCTTCAGATATGTTCTAGTTCAGCTAGTCTGTCCCCGTTGCTCTTTCCAGCACATTCTGTCTTAGTCCTGAAAATTGCTCCCTTTTCCCCCTTACTCTTTCATGATCTCTGCCATTTTCTTCTGTCCATCTCAGGTCTCTCTCAGGTACAAAGTCCCTCTGTAAACCAGTCTTGAGAGTTTAGAGAAGGCAGGGACATTTCACGTGAGACTTGGAGGGTGTAAATGCGTTAAGAACAGTGTGACCAAAGTAGAGGGAGCAAGGGGGAGAGGTGACTTGAGCCAGGTTAGGTAGGGCCTTGCAGACCACAAAAGACTTCATATTTTTATCTTGAGTCTTAAAGTCCTTAAAGGCTTTTTCTTCTTATTTTGACATTTTATTTTGAGAATGCTCAAGCATTAGAGAAAAGCTCAAGAACAGAATGAACATTCATATACCTTTTACTTAATCGTATCATTTACAGTATTTGCTTGATCACTCTCCCCAATCATAGGTACTGTTTTCTTTCTTTTGAAAAAGCCATTCAAAAGTAAGTTTCAGACATCCTGACACTTTACCACTACATAATTCAGCACGTATCTCCTTAGGTGAAGGACACTCTTTAACATAACCTCAGTTCCACTATCACTGAAAGAAATGAATTACACTAATCAGTAATAATTTCATATTAAAATTTCCATGATTATTTTTAAAAAGTCCTATATATGTTTAGATTTCTATGTATTTATGTATATGTGTTATTGTATGTATAAAAATGAATGTATGCATGTTCATAACTTTTAAAGCCAGGATCCCATCAAGATTCATGTATTATATTTGGTTGTTATGTCTTTGTAGTCTCTTTTAATGCAGACCACTTCCCTTCTTTCCTCTGCCCCATCCCATCCCCATTTTTTTTTCCTCCCCTACAACATTGATAATTTGAAGAGTCCTGACCAAGTTACCTTGTGGAATGTCCTGCATTCTGTTTTTTTCTGTTTCCTTGTAGAAGTATTTAACTACTTCCTCTGTCTTTCACATTCTCTGTACATTGGTAGTTAGACCAAAAGGCATCATTACACATAAGTTAAAAATTTTCATAGGAAAATTGATGGGTGATATTGTGAAATTTATTTGCACCAGATTAGAAGGCATGTAACGTCAGGATGTCCTACTATTTGTGATGCTAAGTTTGCTCATTTGGTCACGTGGTAACCACTGCCTGTCTCCCTTAAAAGGTACATTTTAATCTTTGAAGGAGTAACCTGTGAGGTATTACTTTAGCATCATGTGACTGTCCTAGTCCCCAACAACTTCTTACTTGGTGCCCCTTAATGGTCCATTACTGAAGTATTATGGGTTTTAAGTTTTTATTCATTTATTTTGAGAGAGGGAGAGAGAGAGAACTCCAAACTCTGTGCTGTCAGCACAGAGCCCCATGTGGGGCTCAAACTCACATACCATGAGATCATAACCTGAGCCAAAGTCAGACACTTACCATCTGAGCCACGCAGGTACCGCTTCACTGAAGTGATATAAGCAGGCAGTGATGTCATTAGGTACATATTTTTAAAAGATTGCTTGCTGCTGTGTGAAGAATGGATTGGAGGAGGCAAGAGGAAAAGTGGGGAAATGAGCATTTGGATGAGGTTAGAGTCATACATTTGGAAGCAGGATGGCTTGAACTAAATGGGCAGCAGAGGTGGCAATTTAATGGATTTAAGATACATTAGGAGGTGGAACTGAGGAAACCTGCTATCAATTCTGTGGGAAGGAATAGTTCTCAAGTTTCTGGCATAAGCACATGGGTGAACTGTAGTGCCATTTACTGAGGTATAGTGGTTTGGGTAGGGCTTAGGGAGATTGTGAGGGTTGTTTTGGACATGTTAATGAAGAGATCTGGGACTTAGAAGAGAGGTTGGGACTGGACATGAATAAATGTGAAGTCATTAAGTCTGCAGTTGGCATGTGAAGCCATGAGAAGAGTGCAGGGCCAAAAGGGAAGAAGTTTAGGAATAAGATCTGAGAAGCAAAGTATATAAAGTTTGGGTGGAATATCCAAAAAAAAAAAAGGAAAAAGAAGGTCTGGAGAGAGAATGGGAAAAGCAGGTGTTTTACTATAGCAGCCAAAGGCAGAGAGGGCTTCACAAAGGGGAAGGTGGCTACCTGTTACGAGGCAGTGAGTGGCAGAGTCCCTTGGCTTTGGCAGCATGGAGATTACTGTGAGTAGTTTATGTTGGGTCATTGCAGTGAAATCCCAGTTGTGCTGGGTAGTGGCACGTGGGAGGTGAAAAAACCATAGCAGGTATAGACACGAGAGGGGCAGCAGCTAGAAGGGGTAGCAAGATTTAGGGAATATTATTTTTGAGGATGGTAGAGACTCCAGTATGCTCAAATGCTTACAAGGTGGCAAGAGAAGAGATGACAGTACACAGCAGAGAGGAATCACTGGTAGAATGAATTTGCTCCGAAGGTGGGAGGTAATGGGATTCTGAGTGCATGTGGAGGGACCCGGATAAGCTCATCCCTAGTACTTTATTTTAAATCTATTGAATATAAACAATCATTTTAGGCTTTCATTCTTTGAAGCTCTTATTCCTTTTCATTTTATTCCCATAGGAATTTCTCACGAACAGTAGCAACTATAACTTACAGATGGGCGATCTATGACGTATCTTCTTCAATAAAATGTTGGGTTTATCTGCATGAGAAGGAGAAGGGTCTGCTTTTTTCCTTTCCCAGCCACGTCTAGAAAAGTAGAAAATGAGGCTTGTTCTTCACAGTCAGCTTTGAAATACAATTAAGCCTGTTTGAACTGGGATACTTCCCGATGTAAGATGCAACAATCCAGGAAGCAATCTTTTGGTTTTTAACTCATAAGCTGTCACCTCATGTATTTTCCAAATTGCTTTTGTAAAAATGATTTTTTCACCTTTGTGGTTAAAGAAACAAAAGCCTAGTTCAGTGAAGTAGGAATGGAGAAGGGAACAGAGAGTCTATCCCTACTCGGCACCCTTTTTACCCAAGAGCTTAATTTCCCACGGGCGTGGAGACCAGAGAACAGGATTCATGAAGTAAATGCTGGTCAGTCTCAGGGTTGTAAAGGAACCCAATCTTACATCAATGATACCATAATAATATTTGGTGTTCGTTTGCCCATATTGGTCGTTGGGAGCTACTTTGTCCTTTCAACATTGCTTGTTACATGGTCAAAAGCATGAATGTCCTGAATTTTCCTGCCCTAAGAAATGAAATCCACTTCCTTCCAAGGAATTAGAGGTGAAAATCTGGATGACGGGAGTGCTCATGAGAGGTGATGGTGGGCAAAAGTGCTGCCACTTATGTATTAAGATTGAGTTCATGCAGATTAAAAAAATTTTTTTAATCTTTATTTTTGAGAGAGAGAGAGCGCGTGCAAGCGCGCACGCAAGGGAAGGGCAGAGACAGAGGGAGACACAGAATCTGAAGCAGGCTCCAGGCACAAGCTGTCAGCACAGAGCCCAACGCGGGACCTGAACTCATGAACCATGAGATCATGATCTGAGCCGAAGTTGGATGCTTAACTGACTGGGCCACCCAGATGCTCCACAATTCATGCAGATTTTTAAAGATAGTTTATAGCAGGAAGGTAAATCATAGACTTCCTAAAGCAGTGAAGGAAGGAAAAAATTCTTATTATTTTCCTAGTAATCAACTCTGCAACTCTTCATAAGTCAGTGGCTGTAATTCTTTCTTGTGCACCACCTACTGGGAGGTAGTGAGGGGTGAAAAGTGTAAATTCTCTTTCCTGTTCATATAATTGCAAGAGTTGCCCTTCACAAGTTCCCAGAATTAGTCTTGTGTTTTAGCATTTTATAGAGCCTTTTACAATGAGATAATTTCCCTTGGAAAACTTTGTCCATAATAGCTTTCATTGTCCAAATAGTTTCCCAAAGGCTAGCCAACTCTGAGATTTTATCTTCATTATTGATGAATATTTATTAAACATCTCTTTCTGGATACACCATTAAGAGCCATGCTTTGTTTTTTCAAACTGTGACTTCCCCCAACTTGTAAATAGCAGCAGAATCATTCTGGAATAATCATAATCTCAGCTAACCTTTATAGCCAGATATAACTTCTTTGGCAGAGCTTTGTACATATATCTCTTTTAATTCTTGTATAAGAACCATATGCAATAGGTTCTATATTTTATTTACAGTTGAGGAAACTGAGGTTTAGAGATTTTAATTAATTTGTCCCATGCACGTTGTAAAAATACTGATGCCTGGGTCTCACCCTCAGATATTCTTGTTCAGTTGATTTAAGGGGAGGCTTGAGAACCTGTGAGCCTCAGGTAAGTTTACTGTGCTTTCCAGGTTGAGAACCAGTGTTCCATAGCTGAGTTGTCCAATATGGCAGCCACTAGCCACATGTGGTTATTTACATTAAAGTTAAATAGGAAAGAGTTGCAGTAGCTACATTTTACTTAAAAAAAAATTCCCCAAATCAACATAGCTTTTATTTCCTCTTTAAAATATCACAAATAAGTCTGAAAAATCATCCAGCATCTTGGTGTTTCTGTAGCTGGACAGTTTAGATTCTATTCATCAGCCTGCTGAACTGTCCTTTTTCAGAAACATAAATACCATCCAAAAATTTTCTGATACCCTTGTTTTTAATGTAGCTACATTTTAAGTTCTCAATATCCACACGTGGCTAGTGGCAACCAATTTGGACAGCACAGATATAAAACATTTCCATAATCAAAGAAAATTCTATCCATGGGCCAAGCTTCGCTGAGTCTATGCACACCCATGTCACCTTGCTGTGTCGTTATCTTTTCCCCCTCTGGGCTTGGGAAGGGGAACTCAGCCACAACATAAAAGCTATTTGGAAATGTTTGCTTATGAGATCTGAAGATGGCTCTTGGTGTATGTAATTGGGTACGTTTATTCTACATCTCACTTTATGCAAAACAAGAAAAATGACGACCTCTGTTCTCTAAAGAATGGTGTGTGGACAATTTTGCTAGAAGTGGGGGATAACATCTCCTTTATATTGTTGACTTTTCATGTTCATGCCACAGGATAGATTTCTACAACAAGAATTTGGGTCGAGAGCTGTGAATATATTTAATCCGCTACAAAACTGTGTTTCAGAGAAGTTGTACAACTTCCCTCTTCTATTATTTGAGAATGTTTTTTCCTACTGCTTCCTTGACAGAATTGATTATCATTTTTAAAACTTTGCTGATTTGAAAGGAAAAATACGGTGACTTTAAAAAGGATTTTATTTGGTAACCAGAGTGGCTAAAGTTTAACTATGTTTGCTAAAACATTTCTTTCTCCTTGTGATCGTAGAACATAACAGAACAGGATAAACAAGTAGTTTTCTTCTGGTAGTATGTTTACTTTATGAATGTAGTTCAAGTGGTACATAGAACTTTTTTTAACTGTTATAATTACTGTTTTTGTTTAAGCTTTAGTATAGTGTTACTTGGTTTCTTAGTCCGCTGTAATTTTAAAGAAAAGTTATTATTGTGTACTCAGTAGCCATAACAGTAATTTTACATCTAATAGAATTGTTACTATTTTTATCTGATAAAATTATTCTTTTAAATTATTTTGTATTTAAGATATTGCAATAAAATATACTTCTAACAATATGGTGCAGTTTTAAATGTCATTAAACACAGTCACATATGATTGTTAAATCCTTTCCACCCTGGAAATCTCCTATTTGGGGTAATCCTATAAATGTTAGCATTGGAAGGATCAGTTTCTGCTTGATGCCTTCAGTGGTAGTTCGCTGATGAACATAGCTAGTCTATCTACATAGCAACAGCTGCTAGAGATGATGGACATATTACACACTGAAGGAGGAGGGGTGCAGGCTGAGGGTGTTCTGGAGTGGTGGGGTAAGTGAAGGCAGTCAGGGCTCATCTGGAAGGACTGCTTTGTGTCATGAGCTCGCCTTTGCCCTTGGACCAAGGCTCTTGGTGACCCAAATAAGGGTGGGTATGGGGCCAACACACAATTGCTCTTATTGGCCCAGTTTGTCTTCCATTCCTTACAACAAAGAAGACTGGAAACTTTCTGTAAAGAAGAGACACATTTTTGGTAAACTGGGGTCTATACTAATTACATTACTAATAATGGCTGGAAGGCAAGCTAAATAAGAGAGCAGGGCAGTATATGTATATTAGGAGAATCTCATGAAGCTTTGTAAATTTCTGTAGACACTCCATGGTTTCATATGTAAGAGTGTGTCTCTATTCATTTTCCAATCCTTCAATAACTCACCACAATACATTGCTTATGTGTGTGCTGAGTAATTGTTGAATTAGCAACTTGTTAACTTGTTAATAGACCATTTCTAGATTTTGGGAATCTCTGTGGTAAGTTGAGGCAGAACATCTAAAGGAATAGAAGTCAGGATAAGTGACTTAGGAAACTTTTTATTTGTCTAAGATTGTTTTCAGCTCTATTAAATAACTTCTTATTTCTAGGAAGTTTGTGTGTGTGTTACAGCCCGAAGTTTGACTCTTGGGAAAAAATCACGTATTCTGTGTTTTACTTTCATAAAGGTACATGTCATTTATTTTTAATTTTTTTTTACTTTTACATAATCACTTTTTCCAAATGGTAGAAAATTAGATACATTTCAAAGACTTATTACCTTGTAATGGCTTTTACCAGTGCATTCTGTACTGATATATATATATATATGTATATCTATATAATACATATTTCCTGAATAAATTCACTAATGATGAATACAGTTAACTCTTGAACAATGTGGATTTGAACTGCACAGATCCACTTACATGCAGGGCTTTTTCGATAAACACAGTAGAGTTCTATAAATATAGTTTCTCATCCTTAAAATTTTTCTTAATAACATTTTTTCTTTACTGTTAGAATACAGTATAGAATACATGTAACATGTATGTGTTGACTGTTTATGATAAACGTTAAATGATAAACATTATAACAAAATACTTCATATCCTTCTATCTGATCACAACCTACCTTATTAGGTCTAATATTATACTCTAAGCCCAGCACAAGTACTAGATGGTGATTGCACTTGTGATCCGCCTTCTGTGCTGGCTTTTGGAAAATGATGGGAACCACAAAATCCAGAAGTCAGACACGGGCTTTGTCAGTTTCACAGCTCCTAAAAGTTGAGAGTATCACATAGAGTAATAGCCTTGAGTGGAATTCCAGCTCTTTGTTTCTTACCATTCTTTTCTTGGCTTCCTGTTCTCTACCCACAGGGCACAGCAAGACCTTCACTGCTGCTCTTGGGAGTGTTGACTCACATGTGACAAAGGGCCTTACTTTTCTCAACCTTGGTGAGTGAGAGGAAGTTGGGTCTCTCTGCTCTGACCCTCCTTTCTAGTACATGTGATACTCAGCCTTCTATATATCATTTTCTCATCCACGCATCCCATTTTCTCCTACTTCTTCAGGACTTGGATTGTGAGGATAATCACTGACCTTTCAGAAGCCTGATAGGAGAAGGTTTTCTCTGGACACGTTAGCACCTCTAATTCCTCTGCTGTTCAAGAGCCAAGTGTATTAAGTTAGTTAATATTTTTATAATATTTTTTTTCCTGACCTGTGTCTTTTTCAAGGCCTATAGACCAACCCTAATGGACATATTTGTGTCTCCCCTAATGGACATATTTGTGTCTCCCCCAATTCATATCAGTCTTTTGGGGGAGGGTATATGTTTCCCTTTATAGAGAATGCAGGCTGTGAGCTTTCCTATGTTTTTAGTAGGAAAGAAGCCTGGGTACACATCTCAGCCTTTCTGAGCCTCAGTTTCATTATTGATTCTAGAGAGGACAAAGGTCTTTGAGAAATCGTCCATTTCCTGTTGCTAGAGACTTCCAAGTCCTGTAAATGGTTTACAGATCAGCTTGAATGTGTTGATTTTCATTGAGTAAATAATGGTAAGGGAACTTGAGTGTTAGGTTGGAACATATTAATGGAGTCTATAATGAAGAAAATAAAGAAGGAGTTTATTGTACCAACCTACTGAAAGTTGCTTTTGCATGTCAGTTGGGGTGAGGGTCACAAACAGGTTAGCACAGGACTAAATAACAGAAGTATTGCTTGCCTACCCAAGGGACATGGCACAATATTTAAAAAGAAAAGCTTCAGCATTAGAGCACGTGATTCTTTGATGTATTCTCCTTCTCCTGTTCCCCAGTCCATCTAGTATCATGACAAAGGTTTAGGAAGGTGTGACGTGAGGGAACTTGGCAAAATGAGAATGAAAATGATAAGAAAGTTCATAAAAAGATTTTTCTTTTGAATGATACTATTGGTCAGGTATCTAAGACTGAGTGGGCTAGTATGTGGCAAATGTTATCATGAGCTTTGAACCTGTGGGAAATTGCTTTTAGAAAGGCCTGATTCTGCTGCTTCCTGTGGTAAGAGAGATAAATGTAAGGTTTCCTGGGTCTGAGACTTGATTATTATCAAGTAGCGAATGCTACATCAACATCACATCTAAGAGTGATAGGGGAAACTTTCCACTAAAAATAATCTTAGCATTTTGTGAGGTCAAGGGTAGCCTTCTTTTTTTCCCCCAGAGAATGACTTTAGAAAAGGGCAGGCATGATTTAATCTATGGTCTTCAGACTGTGGAGCCAGCAGAAATACTAGAGCTTTATAAAAATAGGCTATCTAACATAAGTTATTTTTCCTTCTTAAACACATTTATCTCACAGGCACAAAAATATACCCAGGATTAAAACTATCCCAGGAGTAATTTTAATGACAACAGTATTGCTTTGTGAGTGATGTATTTTGTCCTATTAATTGCATGAAATTTTCCTGAATTGTCACCCTATTAAAAGGGGGCTTATATTGATTAAAATACTAAAGGATAGAGCTTTGAAGATGTTTTCTGTGAACCCCAAACACCTCTATTTATGAAAGACACATTTGTAAATAAAAAGCCACCATTTTGAAAATGAGTAGTATGTGCTCACTTTATTATTTAAATTACCTTGATGCTTAAAACCATTCTGTTTGGTGATGTTATCCCCATTTTACAGATAATGAAACTGAGGCTCAGAAAGGCTGAGATGTGTACTCAGGCTTCTTTTAGTGTCTCCTATCAGGGGCACTGTGTTAGTTTCTTATTGCTGCTACAACAAATTATCACAAATTTAGCACTTCAAACAACAGAAATGTTGTCTTCTGGATCTAGAGGTTACAGTTCTGAAATCTGGAGTCTTGAGGGGCTAAGTCAAGGTGTAGGTAGAAATGGTTCCTTCTGGAGAAGAATTCATCCTTGGCTTCCTACAGCATCTTGAGGCTAGCATTTCTTGGCATGTGACCAACGTGACTCCCATCTCTTTCATCCTCACATGATTTTCTCTGTAGTCCAATCTCCCTCTGCCTCCCCTCTGTGAACACATTTGTGGTTACACTAAATCCACTTGGATATTCTAGGATACTCCTTCCATTTCAAGATCCTTGATCCTATCTGCAAGGTGACTTTTATCACTTGAAGTGGTAACATATTCACAGGCTCTGGGATGAGCACTGAACATCTTTAGGTGTCATCATTTGGCCTACCACAGGTACTGTTGACACTTTTGATGACACAGTACTTTTTGTGTGAGAGTGTCCTGCCCGTAGAGGGATTTAATAACCTTCACTCCCTACCACGCCAATGAGTGGGACAACTCTGAGCATCCTCACATATTTCCAAATGCTTCGTCTCCCAGGGACATAGTTACCACCCTAAGTAACTGGTTAAATGCTAAGCCTAGGAATTAACTTAGATCATTTGATGCCTAAACCCTTTCCACGCTATGCTACTATATCATTATTCATGTCTTTCTACTTAAATGTTACCATAATAAGAACATTATTGCAACCATTTGTGCTACAGACTTGAATATCACTTAATCCCTGGTGACCGAGAGGACACTTCTAAATCAAATGGTTCGAGTTTTACATCCTCTTTCCCTTCCTTTCCACTGAATGCCTTCTATGCAAATGACTAGCTTTTTTTTTTTTTGCTCCTTAGGAAAAAAAAAAAGAGTCCAGCTGGCTCACTTATACTCTAAATGTGTCTTCTATGTGAAATCCACTGCTATTGCCTGAATTTTTCTGTTTTTCTAAGGTCCTATAAAAATTATTGGCAAAGGCTACTTCCACCTTCCCATTCCCCAGAAACCTATTTTTATACCTAGTTTCAATCTGTGTACAAATGTTCTTGGTACAAAATTATCTAAAGCACAGACTGTGAAGGTGTGAATTCTCAGCAGGAATATATGCAAGGAAATATACTAGTATTTCACAAAGCATTAGAATGCCTGCAGAGATTGTTTTGATGAATTTCAATTTAAGGTTTCTCTAAACAAAACGACGATGCTGATAGTGGTGATGACGATGAGTGGGCAAACACAGGAAACTGAATTTTAGAGCGGCCCCAAACTGGCAGAAACTAGGAAGGAAATTCCCATTTTAAGCTGTTCCCAGACTATCAGATAAAGGAAGAATTCATCTTGATTTTTTTTTCTAATTTGCTTTCAGAGGTCATTTAGATTCATAAAAAGCCACAATTCACTTAGAAACAGAATTACAGATGTCAATTAAGATAACTGTGGCTAGATGGATGAAGAAAATTAGCCACAGGTAGAAATAAATGAGATCTGGCTAGGGAGATGAAATGTACTGACGTCAGACAGCATATTATTATGCTGGTCAAAACGCTTGTGTCTTAAGAGGCACAAAGAGGGATACTGTGAAGTTCGGGGCTTTATCTTTGCCTGTGTAGCTCTTGCCACATGCAGATAACTTAAAATTTTTCTTTTCTACAGACTATTATGTGGCTGTTTACTTACCTGGTCATTTTTTTCATCTACTTAACATTCAACATCCAGACCTAACCTGCCACAGTTTGTTTCTGACAGGTATGGTGATATGGCTGTCATTTTTCTCTCATGAACATGGTCCATTTGGGTTTGTCTTGGCAGCATTTATGTTTGGGTGAGAAGGGTTTCTTTTATTTGCTGATTTTTTTTTTTTTTTTTTTTTTTTGTCCAGGAAACAGTGAAGTGGTTGATATGCTACCTCATAGTCCTTTACAGTCACTGTCAGGGTCCCTGGTACTGGATTGGTGTTCTGGAAAGCTCTATAGGGCACTCCTCAACCAGTCATATTTATTACAGTTCCTATGGAACACTCAGCTAGACTGTGAGAAGATGGCCGTGTTGCACTGTGTGCTCTCCTGTGGCGGAGACCCCCGGTTCTTGGAAGCCAAGGTGGTTATGTAGCTTCAGTTTAAAACTTGGCAAATGGACAACACCAGCGGTATACGTTTGTGGTTGAAATGAACCATTGAAGTCATTTTAATTTGTAATAATTAATTGAAGCGTATGGTCTCCATCCTGACTTGAACATCTTCTTTTCTTGTGCTTGCCTTTTTTATAGACCCCCAACCACACCTCAGACTGTGAGCATGTCTGTTCCTTTGACTACTCTCTTTTCCATACTGTGAAAAATGGTAGCTATATCAGTAACATTCCAAGAAACTGCTCAGTAAACAGTAAATAGTTTCTCAAATATCTACTTTTCCTACTGGCCTATATACGATGTATCGTGTCAAAAGAACTAAAATCTGATGGCATATATTATATTTTAATAAAGATAGCATACGTTTACATTGCATGATATAATTAAGCACTTTGACATACCTTGTCATTTAATTGTACAGCTACCCTGTGAAGTTGGGAGAAACCCCTCCCTCCATTAGACTTGATTGGGACAAATGGGTAGTTGGGTAATTGAAAAAACATGTCTGAAACATTTTAATCTAAACCCAAAAAAATGTGCATTTATTCATCTATCTATTTATGTATTGATGTAGATTAAGACCCTTTCTTTGTATCTTAGTAGTTAGAATTCACAATCATTTTTTCTTATATAAAACCACTAGTAATCTGTTCTCTCTGACTTCCTGTTACTTTCTTCTTCCTTTCTTTTTAACCTTACTTTTTTTTTAATCAAAGGAGAGCAATTTTATAAAGATCCTTTCAAAACAATCTGTGAAAATTGGGCCATTTTTTCTAATCTTTTACAGTTGTCTCCTACCTAGTTTTTTTTAGTGTTTTAGACATGCCTTTGAATCTTTCCAAAGCCTTCAGTTTTTGGGATGCCTGGGTGGCTCGGTGGGTTGAGCATCTGACTCTTGATTTCAGCTCAGGTCATGATCTCATTGTCATGAGATGGAGCCCTGCTTCAGGTCCTGCCCTGGGCACGGAGCCTGCTTGGGATTCTCTCTCTCCCCTTCACTCTCCTCCTCCCCTGCTTTGTAGCACATGTGTGCTCTCTCTCTCTCTCTCTCTCAAAATAAATGAACATTAAAAAAAAGGCATTCAACTTTTATTGACCAAATAGCACTCTTTTTGCATCCATATTTCACTTGCCTATGGTAATATTTTACTAAATTACCTAATTGTGAAAATAAGTACAACTAGCATGAATAAGTTTGGAGATAAAAATGGCAACTTAGTGATAGGAACACAAATATGAGAGTGCTCTGTGGCTAGGCAAGCCTGCTAGTATCCTTTCATTGGAAGGCTGCAAACAAGGAGTTGCAGTCCTCAAGCAGGGAAGGATGGTTGAGGAGACTGAGAGAATCGTTGATACAACATGCCTTTGGGAGGCCTGTACAGTGGTGCTCACGAAGGTTAGGGTGGTGTGGCAGTGTTCACACTGATGGCTGGACTGGATTCAAACCCAGGTCTGTTGCCTCCAAGCTTAGTGGTGTGGTTTGGTTCGGTTTTCTCCTATATCCCACAGCCCTTCACACTGGTACTTTGCTATAATGAGATGTACCCTAGCAAAAACAAACATGGGGTTGAAGAAGCCTTACTTGGATTCTAGCAAAGGGCATTTAGTAAAAAGATGCGTCAAATGGACCTGATTTACAATACTAGTTAAGTCACAGTCTTGCATTATGTGTCTTGAAGAGAGTATAGAAGTCAGTGTGTTCTTTGGCAGTTCCAAAATAGAAAATTTTAAGATTCATATATATATATATATATATAGAATGCTTATGTTTTAAGAGAGAGCAAGCAGGGGAGGGGCAGAGAGAGGGACACAGATGATCTGAAGCAGGCTCTGTGCTGACAGCAGAGAGCCTGATGTGGGGCTAAACTCATGAACCACGAGGTCATGACCTGAGCCTAAGTCACCGAGCCACCCAGGCACCCCAAAGATTCTTTGGTGGTGGGGGCAAGGTGCAGATGTAAATACTAACAGAATTGTCTTCTCACTTCTTAAAGATTATTCAGTGGATTTCTGAGAATCTCTCTGCCTGCCATTCATTTGACTTCATCCAGGAATTTATAATTGGTAGGTGTTGCTGCTGGTGCATATTCAGTTGAATCCTTGACCCTTTTACCAGAGGGAAAGCAGTAAATTGATAATGGCTCAATCTGTCAAAATGTTAGTTAGGAGCTTTTTTTTTTTTAACTCTATTTCAGACAGCAGCTAATTAATTTCATTCTCTCGTGGTCTTGTGAGTAGTTGTGGCCATTCAGAGACTGTTAGGATATGATATAATCTTCATTCTATAACCTTATTAGTGATTTTTTTCTCCCCATTAAGATGTAACTTTCTTAGCTCAGTTTTGTGTTGGCCAGTTGCATGTGAAGTGGTATAACATCACTGGGATAGATAGAAATGCCAAATAAGGTTTTTTTTGGTTTTGTTTTTTTACCATTATTATTCTCCTTGTGAAGAACAGAACCTGAACATTTAGTGAAAGTGGAACCATAATGGTTAAGCTTTCAAGGGTAAGGATAAGGCATTAAAAACATTTTTGGGTTTGCTTGTTTTGGTGAATTACAGTATCTACTGCCTTGTTATTAAACCATGTTTGTCTGTTTTTTTCCCCCTTTCCTTTCACAAATCTGTTCAGCTTCTTCATATTGGAGCATATGTCCAGAGACCAGTAACATGGATAAACTTTTGCCACATTCCTCAGTGCTCATTTGGAATACAGTAAGTTAATACTTTGTGTTCTTTATGTAATTAAAATTGATTCACTGTCATGGGTCAGTCACAGTAACCATGGCTGTGATTTTGGTTCTGTTTTGACTGATAAGGATCTGAGTTGGAGTTTTCTGGCAGAAGAATAATAATAAATCCTTGCTGTTAGCTAACGTATTTATATAAAGTAGTAGAACTGAAGGAGAAGGTACAGAATATGTGTTACTCTTCTTACTACTAGAAGTTAAGCCTCTGTCATCTTCAAATGGTATTTTAATTTTTTTTAGCAACTAGAGTAGAGGAGAATATTTCTTAGGTTTTTATTAATGAGGAATAGCTGGGCCAGTGCTGTTGTTTGTAAGCTGCTCTGTTTACTAAGTAGATTAACACCTCTTCCCAGCCTCCCATAAGGAAAATCTGTAATAAGTGTAGAGCTTCAAGATCAGTAGAAGTTAGTAACCTTAAGCAAATTCACTCCATTCAACCTTTTCTTCCTCCTGGTCCCTCCTCTGTATTTTTCAATTGGAAAGTGGTGAGATAAAATATTGTTTCTTTTCTCTTAAACATGGTGCAGTGAACTAAGTTTTTATTGGATCAGAAAGCAAAAACCATGGGGTGCTTGGTGGCTCAGCTGGTTAAGTGTCCCACTTCCTCTCAGATCATGATCTCACAGTCCAGGAGTTTGAGCCCCACATTAGGCTCTGTGCTGACAGCTCAGAGTCTAGAGCCTGCTTCAGGTTCTGTCTCCCTCTTTCTCTGCCCCTCCCCCACTCACTCTCTTTCTCCCTCTCTCTTTCTCTCTCTCCTCTCTTTCTAAAATAAACAAACTTTTTTTTTTTAAATAAAGCAAAAACATATACAGGCTGCCCCTGAAAAAGGTTTCTTCTTTCATATTTAGATGTTAGAACTATATGCTTAGTCTCAAGGCAGAGGTTTGTATCAAAAAGACATTCAGAAAAATAAATTTACTTTAGGTAACACAGACATAGGAAAATAAGTACTGGCATAAGTTGTAACATTTGCCCATTTTGTATTTAGTCTATCTAAATATAGTCAGGTGTGTTTGATTCATTTCTAAATTTACTGTATGCATGGTGGTAGTGTTTTCCTAAAGGCCCTTCCATCTTTTACTGTTAAAGGTTATTAAATTTTCTCCCTTCACTGTAGAATCACAAGGAAAAGATGCTTCTTCCTTCATGAGGCCCTCACTGTTTTTCTTTGAGAACCCTTGTGAATAGACATGCAGGCTCTATGTGATGTGGCAGGAAGTTTGCAGGTTAAACCACAGGGGGTCCGGAAATACACGTCTCTGCCTCCTTTCCTCACCACCCAACCCTGTGTTGAACTCTTGTGTTCAGTGTCTGACAGGTGGGGACTGGGAACCCCTCATTCCCAGAGTTGTGTTTAAGGAGGGAACACATGTTTATTGCATGACTCATGAGAGAATCATCTTGACAGGCAATTCTTCACTTTTGCATTTCTCATGACTTTGTGAGGCAGAGGAGCTCTGTAGACATACAGAGTGATGGCAGCAAGCCCTGTGAGCAGTACAGTATAAGAAACTTCCACTTGTAACCACCATCTACTGAGCTTATTTTAGGGTTTTCATGTTGCCCTACACTTCCAGTGGTTGGAGTAGGTCACCTTAAAGGTCTCTTCTAATCCTGAAGTTCTTTTTTTTTTTCTTTTTTTTTTTTTTTTTTATGTTTTATTTATTTCTAGGAGAGAGAGAGACAGCATGAGCAGGGGAGGGTCAGAGAGAGAGGGAGTCACAGACTCTGAAACAGGCTCCAGGCTCTGAGCTGGCTGTCAGCACAGAGCCCGACGCGGGGCTCGAACCCACAAACCGCGAGATCATGACCTAAGCAAAAGTCGGTCGCTTAACCGACTAAGCCACCCAGGCGCCCCTAATCCTGAAGTTCTGAGTCCATGCATATCTTTAACACTGATGTAAATCATTTGCTTTTGCTTTTTCTAATCTGCAAATGCTCTTAATCATACATCTTAATAAACACTTGCCACAGTAGGAAATATGAATGTCATGCTCTGTATGGAGACAGATTATTTCTGTAAATAACTGAATTGGATTTAAGATACCTAGAACGTATGATGCTCTTACACATAGATAATCCTGAATTATGCTTTGTAAACAATTAGCCTGGTTCTACCTATTTTAAGATGCCATTTGTAATCTAAAGCTGTAGTGAAATTGTAATGCTTTTTTGAAGTGTCTCTTCTTACTGAGTAGTGATGAGTGAAACACAAAGTATATTCTTACCACAGGTTTTCAGTGGTTATAGTGGACAACTCAGTTGCTTCAATATCCTTGAAATTTATTTCTCCATTGCTATGATGCCCCTTTCCACAGGAATAGTGTAGATCAATAAAAATCCAGGACATTTAAGTTCTAAATAAATACCATGTTTTATTTCTACATAACACCTTCTAAATTAATTTCTTATATATAATCTACTTTATTTTAGAAAAAAAGGATGAATTCACTAGTTAAGAAGCTAATCTAAATAATTACTATAGAAATACACTTCCAAAATAAGTGAATGAAGGGCAATTTTGGAAGTTTTTATTTTTATTGAAATTTTTGTTTTAATTTTTTAATGTTTATTTTTGAGAGAGAGATTGAGAGACACAGACTGTGAGCTGGGAAGGGGCAGAGGGGGGCAGGGGACAGAGAATCCCAGGCAAGCTTCAGGCTGTCAACATAGAGCCCAACACGGAGCTAGAACTCACCACACGATCATGACCTAAGCTGAAGTCAGACCTTAACCAACTGAGCCACCCAGGTGCCCTGAAACTTTTGTTTTAATGCTCACTAGTTAGCAGAATGTTATAATTTGGTCTTCCTGATGTAAATTGTGTATCTTTCATATTTGTCATGGGGATACTGCTGCATAAACTCTTTATGGGGACCTTTCATTTCTGAAATTATGGTGGAGGATGAGATGAAGAAAAATCTTATACTAAAGCCAAAAAAAGAACCCCATTAATCTTGGTTCCTCCTAGTGAGGCAGGAGCCTACTATAATATAATGCATTTAAGCAAAAGAGAAGAAGAGGAACAAAAGAGCAATAAAAAAAAAAAAAGAAACATTTTCCCCTGAGTATTACACTTGATGGTACAAATATAATTTGCCTTATTGGTTCTTAAGTGGAAATGTATAAGTATTAAACTATTTGCTTTGTATTCCTAATAGTCTTCTCCTTTCCTTCAGGGACACTGTCATCTATTGTAATCGTAACTTTAAAGAACATTTCCCTTCCCAAGGCAAGAGATGGGCTGTGTTCACTGTTATTTATAAACCCCAAGGTTTATTTAAAGTAGAGGTTAGCAAACTGGGAGCTGCCCTCAGCTTCTGTCTGTGCAGAAAACACTTCCTGAAGGTTCAAGCTTGTGGTGGTTGATAGGTTTAGCAGTTGTGTGTATGTTTTTTCCCCCTGCCATAGGAAATTCCTGGAATAACCCTTGCGACAGAAGAGATCGCGTTGCCTTTTATGAAGGTAAGTCCTTACAGGCAGAGGCGAGAGCACAGCTGTGCATGGCTTCCTTGCTGGTCTCCACGCCCAATGGGAGTCCCGTCCCTGCTGCCCCAAGTGTTATGGTGGTTCCCAAAGGGCTTGTAAACTGTTGGGAGAGGATGTGGGTAAAAGGGGTAGGGTTCATTCTCTAGAAAGCCCTTTCTCAGGGATTGAGTAGTCACGGAAGGTGATATTATGGCAATTCTTAAGAATACTCTTTGGAGAGGGCAGTTTTCTGAAGACAGAGAATTACGGGGCTCAACGGAAACTATACAGAACTTATCCTTTCCACCGCACCTCAAAGCAGTTCACACGGGAGGAAGACCCTGGTAGCTGTTTCTTTACTTCATTTGTGCTCCCACCCCCTCATCAGATGCATCATTTGCACATGCGCGCACACACACACACACACACACACACACACACTTAAACCCATCAAGTAAGCTGGGCTAGGATTATCTAATTTCCTTCTGGTTCTAAGAACTGCTTTTCTGTTTCTCAAAAGTGATCTGTAGTGGCTCTGTGTATGGTCTCTGTGAAGCTCTGCACACCCCCTTCCTGCCACGAAGCGGTAGTTATTAGTGTCTTTTTGCAAGTTGGTGGTTTTAGAAGAGTTTCTGAGTACAATAGGGAGAGTGGGGTGGGGTGAGCAGAAAAGAATGTGTGTGTAGTTTAAAAACTAGACAGTGTTTTAGCAGTTTTCTTGAAGCTCTTTTGTTGTTTTTGGCATTGCCTCCTGTTAATTATAGTTTGGTGTGTAGTGGGAAATCTCAAGTTTTGTCAGCAGGCAGCTCACTGTGCTGCCTCCCTTTTATTTATATTAGATTCTTTTGGATCCACGAAGGGCAGGCCAGGCCTGGGCAGCTGGGGTGAAGGCCATGAGGTTCGAGGTCATGGTGATGCCCCGCGAGTGAGAGAGGGCTAATGTGGCAGGTTTAGTGGTTCTGGGTTTTGGTTCTAAGAAGGGTCCTTCAAGGAGACCAAGAAGTGATGGTTCTCGGCCTCAGCCGAAGACCACTGTGAAGATATACAAAGGGAAGACGATGGAAGAAAAAGAAAGGTTTGATTAATAGCTTAAGAGGTTCTTAAGAGCCTCTATCCTTTCATTTTACCGTTTCTGCTTTTATCATTAGCCCTACCAAACCCATAATGTGGTTACTGGACACACAATAAACCAGTGAGGAAAATTTTAAAGAGAAAGCAGCATCACCCACAACTCTACAGGTCCCAAGATATCAACTGTCAGTTCCCCCTCCATTTCCTCCTGGTCTTCGTCCTAGGTACGCATGCCTTGCCTACTAGTAACGGCCATCTAGAGATATTGAATAATGACGTCAGATTCTACCAAACAGTTCTTGTGCTGCCACACAGCTTCATGATTGTGATCTGCAGTAGTTCCATAGGATTCTGCTGGTTGTTGTGTTCTCATTTATCATTTTTGTGTTTTGAAATATTTCAAAAGTAAGACAAAGTAAATACTTTGTCTTCAGCCCCCATTAAAAAATTGCTATTAAAAATAATGTCTCAGTGAATATCTTTATATAGACAGTTTTTCCTTTGATTTATTCCCCCAAGGCTAAATGTCCAGGAGTATTACTGGATAAAAGACTATGACAGTTTTGATAGCTTTTGATTCTTATTGCCAAATTGGTATTAAAACAGTTGTGGGTGCACCTGGGTGGCTCAGTCAGTTGAGCATCTGACTTTTGATTTTGGCTCAGGTCATGATCTCACAGTCTGTGAGTTCAAGCCCTGCTTCGGGCTCCATGCTTATAGCACAGAGCCTGCTTGGGATACTCTCTCTTTCTCTCTCTCTGCCCCTCCACCTCTTTCTCTCTCTCTCTCTCAAAATAAATATACTTAAAAAAAAAAAGTTGCCATTAACTTATAAGGAACCAATGAGTTTATCAATTTTACTATAACCTTGTCACCATTGTATATTTTTATTTAAAAAATTAAGTGTAAAAGAGTGATGTGAAGGTTCACTTTTGATTTTGTACCCATTGGCTTGATGCTAAGAATATGATTTGCTTTGCTTAGGAACAAAGTGGCTTTTTTTGCACTTTTTTCTTTTTTCTATTTTTGTTTTATGTAAAATGATACATTTTTATATTGTTCATATTTTCTCTCCCTTGATACTCACTCTGCCTTCTCACTAACTTCTCCTCCCTAATGATCTCTAACATTTGGCCCTGCAGACAGTCATCTCCCAAACCTGCTGAGGGGCTCTCCTGCAGCTCCACATGTATTGACACGCTGGTAGGAAGGGTTACATACAATAGCACAGGTTCCAACTGTCGATCTCTTCACGACCTCGTCCTCGCAGACAAGATCTGTCTGGGAAGTCGAAGGTACACTGCCAGGATGGGCCTTGGGCTCAGGAGGAGATGGTACTGGATTTGGCTCCACCAGCTCCCCAGCCTCCTCCCCAGTCACTCAGCATGGGAGACCCTCATCAGAACCTCCCAGCTCGCAGGACACCTGGCTCTGATCTTTCTCATTTGTTGCCCCATTTCTGCTTGCACAATACCCCTCACTATAAGCCGCTGCCTTTGACCTACTTCTTCTACTCCAAGTCCCAGCTTAATTATATTGCAATAGACCTGCTTGCACATCTCACCCACCCCCCTCTTTCTCTGGCCCCAGTTATATGACTGTTCTTGCCACCCTTCTTCAGCTACAGGACTTGGCTCTGAGTATCTATGACCTGAATCGCAAGTTACCTTTCGAACGCATGCTTGCTGCCAGACTTTCCAAGAGGCCCAAGGGACCCCTATTTACTCTGACCACACTCGCTGCTTCCATTCTCCTTGGTAGCTGACTGCCATGATAAGGAGTCTGGAGAGGGAAAAGCAAAGTGAAACTAGATAAGCACTTTCTTCCTGCTTTCTCTTCAAGTAATTCTCCTGTGGAGTACTTTACAAATGTTTAACATATGAATATGAAATTTAACTGGCATAAGCCAGTTACATTAGAAGTTTATCACCTGATAGACAAGTGACTTCCTTGCTTTAGAAAACGGTTTCCAAAAGAGTTTTAAACAATTAAACAAGAAGTATATTGGAACAAGGTCCTTGCCTTAAAAGCAATGTTATCAAGAGTGACCTTCCTATGAATGATTTTACCCCTTCATAAAACATGGTTTTCTCTGGGGAAGTGTCCATTTTTGTGAAAGGTTTAAAATTACCCTTGATTTTATGGTGAGAAGAGAAACTATTAAAGCTGTCTAACCACACAAAGCACCTAAGGATTAAAATATATAAACAATAACTTACTTGAATATAAAAGGTGAACAAACATGTCACAAATGGTGAAATGGAATTTTTACCAAAGGTTTTAAAAAAATTTTTTTAAACATTTTATTCATTTTTTGAGAGAGAGAGGGAGCAGGAGGAGGAGGGGAGGAGAGAGATGGAGACAGAATGTGAAGCAGACTCCAGGCTCTGAGCTGTCAGCACAGAGCCAATGAGGGGCTCTAACCCACGAACCATGAGATCATGACCTGAGTCAAAGTTGGACACCCAACCAACTGAGCCACCCCGGCATCCTCCAAACATCTTAATTTTCATTTTATAAAGTAAGGAAACCTTTTTCCATTTGTTTAGAGATAAACTATCTGGGCAAGTCAGAGACTTAAATCCCCTTCCCACTTAAATCCACTCAGAAGTGAGGGTGTTACTTTACGTGCCTATAGGGGTCTCAGTGCCCCTGAGCAATTGGGAAAACCATTATTGGCACCTGGGCTCTTTTCCATGCAGAGACTTGTTTATTTAATTAGGCTTCTTCAGTTAAAAAGTGTTTTAAGAATACTGTTTTAATTGAGCAGAGCATGAGTATAATTAAGTGCTTGGTGAAATACAAGACTTTTTCCCTTGACCCTCCCAGTACAGACAACCACCATCATTTAAATAAAAGGTTGGTTAAAGATCCGAAGTAGCAACAAAATTACAGTGTAATAGCTTACAATTTTAAAAATGAGGATTGTTGCTTTGATAACAACCTAACATTATCAGAAATGTCAATTGGTTATGTGAGAAATAGTGACTTTTCCAAAGTTCAGTCTGTATATATGTGATACTATGGTACAACCAGAAAAAATACTTTGGTCTTCGTCCATGATTCCTGGCACAGAGTTCCTACAATCCCGTAACTTTGTAAGCAGTAAGAGCTACAGGGACATCTTGTATTATATTTAGTGTTTGTTCCCAGTTCCTGAAATCACCTCAGGGCACAAAGGTGAAAAGAATGTCTTTTGTAATTCATCTCGAGCTCCTTTCAGCTACACCTGAGTTATGTTAATAAGATAATTTTTGGAAAGCACCTAAGACTGGGGGCTGGTTGTCTAAAGAGCCAAACACGTGATTAGAAAGTTGGAAATTTCAGCTAGTTCACTCCTCTCACCTCCAGAGGTAAGAGAATGGCTGGAGATTGAGTTCAGTCCCCAATGACCAATGATTTAATCAGTCCTGCTTACATAATAGAGCCTCCATGAAGAACCTTTACTGAAGGAGTTTGAGGAGCTTCTGAGATGGATGAATAGGTGAGGGTGTGGGAGGGTGGTGTGCCTGAAGAGTGCATGGAAACTCTGAGCCTTTTCTCCCATGCCTTGTCTTATGCATCTCTTCCATCTGGTGGTTCCTTGGTTGTTGTTGTTGTTTAATATTTATTTATTTTTTAAGTTTATTTTTGAGAAAGAGACAGCATGACTAGGGGAGGGGCAGAGAGAGGGGGAGGCACAGAATCCGAAGCAGGCTCCAGACTCCTAGCTGTCAGCACAGAGCTGCATGTGGGGCTCAAACCCACTAATAGTGAGATCATGACCTGAGCCAAAGTCAGTTGCTTAACCAACTGAGCCACCCAGGTGCCCATAATGTTTATTTTAATTTGTGGGGGAGAGAGGGAACAGGGACACAGGCACTGTGCGCGAATGAGCTGGGGAGGGGCAGCGCGAGAGGGAGAGAGAGAATCCCAGGCAGGCTCCA